GGAGGGCTTTCTCAGCGGTGGCGCCTAAGTTATGGAATGCGCTCCTTAGAGAGGTCCGCCTGGCGCCGTCGTTATTTGCTTTTCGGCGCCAGGCGAAGACCTTTTTATTTAAGCGGTATTTTAACTGTTAATATTATTTGATCTTATCTGGCCAGGGCGGCTTATTTTATATTGTATTTTTTGGATTTTTAATGTTTATATGTGTTGCGATCTATTTTATAATTGCTTTTATTTATTGTTTGTAAGCCGCCCCGAGGCTTCGGCGAATGGGGCGGCATAAAAATGTTTTAATTAATAAATAAATAAAGAAAGAATGGAACAGGGCGGACCTGAACTCAGGAAAGGATAGCCTCACGCTCTGTGTTGCAGGCCCCAGACTTCGTTTCAGGTTCTCTGACCATGAACTTGAGAAGCTGAGTATCTAAGAGATGGGAAATGAAAATCAGTTAGTGGCTTCTACCTACTGAAAAGATTTATTTTATTTATTTATTTAGAACATTTCTATGCCGCCCCATTCGCAAAAAGCCTCGGGGCAGCTTACAAAATAATAGGTTCTAGTTATGAAGAAGTGCAAATGTTTCCTCATTAAAAGAAAGTCCATTAAACAAAACCCGAAACTGCCTGATAGGAACATGTGAGCTTACTGAATTTTGAAAGTAATTGAGCGCTGGAAGATCTAAACCTGCAGCTGGAAGGGCTAAGAATGGTTAATCTGGCAGTGAATTAATGAAATTATACTAGTGAGAGGGCCAAAGAGGCTGCCTGAAACGGCGAATGATTGATTTGGCCCCAAAATTCTGAATAGACTCATTTGGGCAAAGCCTCCAAGAAGCTCTCCCTCCCAACAAAAGACTTGGGACGTGCGTCAAGAACCCATATAAATATTTTACACCCCAAGTCCATACATGGGATGACCAGGGTATCGCCTCCAATTTCGTCAAGTTTAAACTGGTCCAGACTAAAGCAGACAAAAACTGCTTTGGCAGTTGACATTGGAAGACAGAATCAAAGAACGAGTCACAGGGCATGGCTTGTGATGTTTCAAACTTGCCCTTCGCAAGATCACTGCAAGAGATGTTTAGATGGATTTCAGGCTGCGCACCCAGCTGGGGATCAGGAGTGAGTGAGGAATACAGCATATGCTCAAAAGCTAACCCAGAAACAAGGCCTGGGTAGTCTGGCTCCCATTATGCTCCTGCGATGATAAGGAACATCCTTCTGGCCTCACAGTTTGGGAGGTGAGAACCATGTGGCCGAAGATGACCATGGGTTCAAAGATGTGTCGGAAACAAACAGTTTTTATATCCATTTTTTTCCTTTAAAGGAACTCAAGCTGGTGTACATAATTCTCCCAATCTTATCCTCACAACAAAAACCCTGTGGCACTGAGAGACTGTGACTGGCATAAAGTCACCTTGTGAGCTCACTGACCAAGTCTGGAGACTAGAAGGAACCCAGATCTCTCGATTCCCAGTCCTACACTCCTAAGCACGGCACCACACTGCCCTGCAACATGGCAGTCAAGCTAACACCTAGATGGTAGACCTTTGAAGAGGTTCTCAGAGGAGTTAAAAATAATCAACAGTCATGCCAGACACATTACCAAAACACATGGACATGAATCATGAGGGAGTTGGAGGAAAGTTGGACATGTCAGGGGTCAGACTAGATGGCCTGGGAACCCTCCTCTAACTAGTTCTATGTTACTATGTTTCTTTTGACTGGGACGTGGTGGTCCCTCCACTGCAGCCTCTACCCCTGAACATGTGTATAAAGGCTTAGTTAGTGAAAGCACTTTCTCTCCCGCTTGCCCTCATCTCTGATCTTTGCTGGACCACCAGACCAGGAATGTGAGCAGCTCAATTTCCTCAACACTAAATTATATTAATTTTCAAATAAGCTGAATGTTTCATTTTCTGGACTAGAAATGTCAAGCACAGCCCTTCTGAGAGCACTGTGCTAATTACCCAGATATAAAAGACTCCACTAAAAGTGCAGGGGCAGCATATAAATGCAAACACAAATAAACAAAAAGTCTGAGCAAGCTCTATAGGTGTTTCAAGAGGGAAAAAATGCACTACAGCCTCCAACGTTCCCCATCCAGCATTTTTCTGAAGATAAACAGTGGAATGATTTCAAACTTAGGACTATCTTGAAATACAATTTGGCGATCCCTTTAAGATCCAGGTTTTATTAATTCTTCCCATTAAGATTTATATGGAAAAGGCTCTTCCAGCAGCCATGGAGCATACTAAGACTGCAAGGGCGTTTGTCTTTCTAGATACACCTAGGATTGCACTCTCCTTAAGACTTTAGGGTTGACCTAACTCTTAGAACTGAGTCATACAAAAGAAACCCCTTAAATCCTGGAATCTTCTTAACCGAACTTTAAAAAACTCCTGCTTTGGCTTTTCCATGTTACTTCCAGCCTTAACAATGCGAGCGCCACAAAATGTTGGATATTATATTGAGTTAAAGAAATGGCAAAAGTTGTGGGAAAGAAATATCAAGGTAACTTTAGCAACCTCATATAAAGAAAATCTCTATAAAATGTTTTATAGGTGGTATTTGCCAGAATCCCGGAATCTCAATTTGAGAAGAGGGAATAAAACTCGGGTTCGTGGGAAAGACCAAGTGTCCAGACCATCTGAGGCTTTATTGTATTTACCCCAAGGTTCCCGCGGTAGACTCTCACGAGAATGCATGCTGCATTACCGGGCAGGCAGAGGTGAACTCTGCTGCAAAGCTTCAACACAACTAGAGAGTTTGTATACACTCCCAGTCACATACAGGTATAGGGCAATTGATGACAGAATGCAGAGATTACAATAAGATTCTGAGGTCATCACATACAGAACAAATAAAGAAATTTCAGTCAATCACACTGTAACAATGAGATCACAATATTTCTAATTGCCTGTACTGACACTTTAGTTCCTCCAGGTCTGTTTAAGACATGTAAATTCAAGCTACTGAGAAACTATGCATGATAAACTCAAGACTCTTATCTAGACTCTAGACAGTCTGAATTGGCCAGGGCACATGGAGCCTCTGGGCTATCAAAAGATACTTCCTTGTAAACTGAATTCCAACGATGAATATTTACAATGTATATTTGGACTGAATGGCTTGTCTGCTGTAGCCCACAGCTAAAGGTGAGAGAAAGGAGCGGGGGAATGCCATTTTAAACATTGACAGATTGGTTTTGAGAAGGAAGACAGGATTTGATCCCACAATGCAAATGCACACAGGAGTAATGCTTTTCAGACAGGATCTATCCAAATTTTCCCAACAGTATCTATTGCCAAATAGATTAGCAAAGATGTTTTCAAATACATCAAATGGATGTTGGAAAGCAAACATAAACCGGGCACCTTCTATCTCGTACGTGGTGGACTTGTGATAAGGCAAAAACATATTGGGCTAAAATTCATAAACGGCTGGAGGAGATGTTACAAAAATCTTTAATAGTTAAACCTGAAGTCTTTTTACTAGGCATTGTACCGGATGTCGATAAACAAGCTATGCATTTGATTTTACATGTAATTACTGCGGCAAGGATTGCATTTGCCCAACGTTGGAGGAGTGAAGAACCACCCACGGATGAACTGATTTTAAAAGAGATTCTGGATTGCGCTGAAACGGACAGGCGGACTGTTTCTGAAGGAGAAAGAGGAGACAGGCTTCTATCAAACGTGGAACTCTGTTTATCCCTGGCTAGAGAAACGGGACGAGGCGTAGATTTGAGTATGTTTACGGACCGCTAGAAAGAAATATGGGGGGCTGACCCACCAGGTCTGCTGGGTCTGACGACTGACGTTTCTGCGTTTCTTTTTTTAGTTCGCAGAACATAATAACAACGATTTACTCGAAGAAGGAAAGGGAAAAACGCACCGCGAGCGCCCGAGGCGACCCCGCGGGCGGCGCACACCCCGGCGCGGCCGGGCCGCTCCTGCAGGGGGCGCATGCGCGCGGCGGCCCTCCGCCAAGGGCGGGACTTCCTGCCTGAGGGGGCTGGGCGGATATCCGGCTGCGTCGCCGGATGTTGACAGTTGGGCGCTCGGCTGAGGTGAGTGCGGGGGGCGCATTTTGGGGCGGGGGGCCCGAGCGCGCCCCCGGGGGGCGCCGGCTCGTCGGGGGGGAGCTGCCCGGCCGCCGCCGCCGCCCCCTCCGGTGAGGCCCCCGCGGGCCGCGGAGAGGCGGCGGTTTGGCCTTGGATGAAGGCCGGCCCCGAGGAGGCGGCTGCGGAGGAGGGCCTCCCTCCGCGCCCCTTCGAGGCCGCGCGGCCCCGTCCCGCCGGGGGGGGCGCGGTGGGGCTCGGCGCGGGAGCCCCGGCTGCCTGCGAGCGCCCGGGTTTGCCCTGCCGCTTTCCTCCTGGCGGGCCCGGGTGCTTCACGCGTCCCACCTCCGCTCGCTTGTATCCGCAGAGCAGCCCTGTGAGGTAGGTCGGGCCGGGAGTCAGGGACTGGGCCAGTCGTTCAGTGAGCTGCATGGTTGAGCGAGGGCTTGGGCGCGGGTCTCCCCAGGCCTAGCCCAGTGCTCCAGCCACTAGGCAACACTGCCTCTCAAGATTCGTCCCTGGTACCTCCGGTAGGGCTGGGAAAGACTTGTTGTCCGACACCTGGAAGAGCTATTGCTGCTAGCCAGTGTTGGCAATACTGGGCTAGATGGGCCAGTATAAGGTCGTGTCCTAATTCCCAGGCATCATGGCATGTCGTGAGTAGGCAGAGATGACAGAATAATAGAATCACAGGATAGTAGAGTTGGAAAAGGCCAAGGAGGCCATTGGGTCCGACCCCCTGCTGTTGCAGGACAGCAATTCCCACCATCCCCTCAGGTGGCTGTCAGGTTTCACCTTGAATGTCTCCAGTGTGAGAGAGCCCACCATCTCTCCAGGCAGCCGGTCCCACATGTTATAAATTAGCACGTACTGCTGCTGTCCCATCATCACAGGCTAATATAGTTGTTGGCATGGCATTGTTGAGATATACTTATTTTTCAGCAGTAAACAATTTGGTCCCTTCAAGGAAAAAAAGGTGGGATATAAATGTAATAATAAATAAAAGTTAATAGTTGTTCTAGCAGGCCCCATCATCCACAGTCAGCATGGCTCCAGCACATCTGGAGGCACTAGGTTGGGGAAGGCTGGCCTAGGCTCTCAGGAAGACTTACACAAAAAAACGAATCAGTATAAGGATTGAAGTTGATCACTCCAAGGATACTGCAGTAAATACAGCAGTAAAATAAATACGATTGTTGTTATTTTCTAAATAGAGTCCAAGGCAGCAAATATAAAAAGAGATAAAATGATTCAAAGCACAACTTTAAAGCCAAATGCATGCTATAACTGGACAAGGAAAATGGATATTGTGTTGCAGTGCTTGGAAAAATAAGACGAGTGATCGGCTGCAGATGAAAACTAAAAGTGAGCTTTGTTGCTTGGTAGGATCCAGTGAATAAGCAGTTTCCCACTTGCCTTGCTGTACAGAGTGCGATGTTTCAGTAGATCAATAGTATGAGAGCCTGCTGCATCAGGCTGAGGCCCGTCCATCATCCTGTTCATGCCGCAGCCACCCAGTTGCCCACGGGACACCCTCCAAAGTGCAGTGGCGCCATTGTGCCCACGTTTCCCAGCAACTGGTGTATGCAGGCGTATAGTGTCTTTGATACTGAGGACGGCACATAGTCATCAGGACTAGTAGCCGCGGATAGCCCTGTCCGCTCTGAATCTGGCCAGTTCTCTCTCAGGCTGTCACACGGAGTGGTTTTAAAAGCAACCAGTGACATTGAAGGAAAGGGGGTCTCCTTGGTGCAGAATATGTAGGTGCATATAAACTGGCGGGTGCTTGGGGAGCGCATGGGCTGGTTTGCTCCTGGTGTTTCACAGCCTGAAAGGATGGAATGCAATGAGTGAGTAATGTTCTCTTTTGCATCCAGTTAAAAAGCTTTTAAACAAGCCCGGGGGCTTCTGGCTTAAAGCCATTTTCTCCCCTGCTGTTCCCCACAGTCTTGCACAGAGGAGGGCAACTAATGTCTGCACCCTTTCCCCCCAGTTATGGGGGCTGATGGGGTTCCTTGCAGCCATCCTGCAGGCTCTTCTCTGGGGGAGCTTTCTCTTTCAGTGGGTGGAGAAGAGTCTGCTGGGTGACAAATGTCAGCCATTCCCAGACCCAGGTAGAAAAGGGGTTGGTAGAAGAGACTGACCTTGAAAGCTCTCACAGAGTTCCAAAACAGATGGCTTTTGCCTACAGTGAGGCTGTGGTCTCCTGGAGTAATCCCCCCCCCCCAAATAACCTCCACTGTTAGCCAAAACAGCAACAATGAAAGGGCATCTAAAAATGTTTTCTGCAACTTGTAATAGTGTGTCGCAGTTGCCACAGTCATACTTTTGCCAGAACTGTCTGTGGAAGCAAACATGACAAAACTGAAGTTGACATGCTTCAGGCACATTGTGTGAAGGCAGGTCTCCCTGGAGGAGAAAATCATGCTGGAAAAAGTCTAAGGTAGACAAAGATGACACCCAACCGTGAGATGCATCGATTCTGTCAAGGAAGCCACGGCACATTCAGGAGCTGAGCGGGGCTCTCGGGGAAGGGCATTTTTCAGGGCTTCCATTCACGGGGTCTCCATAAGACGGAGACAGCTTGCTAGTACAGGATAAGAGCAAGAGGAAATGCTCTGAGGGGGAGCGCCTCCTCCTCTGTGGCTGAGGGGGACCATAAAGCCACCATCGCCTGTTCTCTCTCTTTAAGTATCGTGCTCTGGTGTTGGCATGGCAGATGACAATGACGAGCTGGCAGCAGATGACGAGCTGCTGCCGCCAGCGGAAGACAACGCCGAGCAGCCGGAGAACGGCATCCCCGCAGAACGGAGCGGCCACGTGGCCGTCACCGATGGGCAGTGCATGTTCGTGTGGGGTGGGTACAAGGTAAGTGCGCTGCCTCCTCGTGAAGTGCAGCCTCGGGCAGGAGGACGCGGAGCCGTGGTTCACATGCCTGCGGAGACCTGGGGAGGATGCGCCGAGGCTGCTGCCAGAAGAAGCTTTTATTGCCCTGCCTCAGTCACAGAAGTTCGTGGTGCGTCCAGGTATCCCTGTCCCGCACCTGTGGCCGCCCCATGCAGGTTTTGCTGCATCTGCCGGTGGTTCTTATGGCACAACATCTGCTGAGAAAAAGGGAACAGGGATCTGGTTACGAGCACTGGCAGCCGCCGTTTGGGCATGTGTCTTCATTCCCAAGGCTGTTAATGGTACATATGAGTGAAAGTAATGGGCTTGGAAATAACTGAAATGTTGCAACCAGAACTATGATTATGTGTCTTAAAATACAAATATGTGGGGGAAATGGGGGGTTCTTTGGGCTTATGGCATTAAGAGAAGATGGAGATGATTTTAGATGTTGTTATATGTAACTTATTAAAGAAATGTTTAATAGCAAGACATTTTCTCCTTTCTTTCCCTCCTGCTTCAGAATGCTCAGGTGAGGGGATTTTACGACTTCTACCTTCCCAGAGATGAAATCTGGATCTATAACATGGAAACCGGAAGATGGTAATATACCCAAATGATTTCCACACATTTCGCCATCCCCAGCCTCCCAGAATAAGCACTTTTGTAGGGCAGTGGAGTAGCTGCCGGTGGCTTGCGGGGGCTGCAGCTGGCTGCACAGCACGTGGGGGCCCGGTGTTCGTTCTGCGCCTGGCAAGCTGCACTTCACGTTCCTGACTGTCAGACTGCTAGAGCAGAGGAAGGTTTCATGATGCTCCTGGTGGCCGCTGGACCCAGGCAGTTTCTTTCATGTAGTTGGTGGAGAATGTATGGAGTGGGCTTCCATGGGATGCAGTTGTGGCCCCATCGGTGAGGTGCTCAAGGACAGGCTGGAACTGCACATGGCGGGCATGTCGTGGGCGGAGCCAGCTGGAGCTGGGGGTCAGACTAGATGGCTTGGGAGGCCCCTTCTGACCCACTCCGTTTCTCTGTTCTGTGTTTCTAATGTAGGTAGTTTTTGTTGGGGGATGTAGTGCAGACAGTTCTAAGAAAAAGGCAAATGTTTTGCTTGAAAGAATAGGGCCCTCTCAGAGTAAGAGGGAATGTTTCTTTAATTGTTTGCTGTTCATAATTTCAGATCAATTTTCCAGGTGGGTTGGGGTGGATGAAACAAACATTTGAACTGTGTCCATGCTGTCTAGCAGGCCCTCTGCTTCCCAAAGGCCCCGTCGCAACGTGCTCCCTGAGACGACGGGGGCAGGACAGGCCTGCTTTTGGCACAGAAGAGGCCTGGGTCCCCCGTGGGGTGGCCTTTGCCAGGAGAGAGCGACTGCAGCCCTCGGTGGCTTTTGCTGCCATCGCGGGTCTCCCTCTGGGTGTCAGGGATACTGTTTTCCAGGATGGTTAGTTCTGGAAGGTGAAGCTGGGCCATCTCTGCTTGATTCCTTGACATGTACACTTTGAGGTCCCGCCGGGTTCCGTTTCATCCCCACTTCCTTTTAAGAGCTGCACAACATGCTGAGGGAGGTGACCAGAGATTTGGAGTGGGATGTCGTCGGTGCGCAGATGACACCCAACTCTACTTCTCCTTTTCATGATGCAGGTGAGGCAGTGGGGTGCTAGATCAGTGCCCCCAAATGGCAGTGGACTGGATGGGGGCCAGTAAACTGAAGCTCAGTCCAGGCAAGATGGCGGTACTGTTAGTGGGTGCTCATCTGCCCAGGTAAGTGGTGTTCAACCTGTTCTAGAGGAGCTTGTGCTCCCCCGAAGGAATCAGGTTCATGGCCTGGGGGAGCTCCTGGATCCCAGCTCGCTGCAGGGGCACACGTGGCCTCCATAGGCTGGAGCACCTTTTGCCAGCAGGAGCTGCATGCCAGCCACCCCCTACCTGGACAGAGAGCCTTGCTTCAGTGATCCTCCCATTCAGCTATTCCGCCTGGAGGCGCCTCTGTTAGTTCGTGATGACCTGGTTTGACCCCCTGGGGTTCAACCCAGAAACTTTGTGGGGTGCAGAGTGATACATTACCTGCTTCTCATGCACTCGTCACGTCGGCTTTCGCTTAACAATCCAGGAAAATTCTTGGATTGCTTCATGATGCGTGAACCTGGAACACTGAGTTATTGAAAGGCTAATCAGTCCTATTAGCTATTTTATTTCTATACAAAGTTTTCTGGACAATTTATACTAGTGCATAAAATACAGTACACTGATCCAACAACTGGCTAAAGTTTATGGGGTTAACTCTGGATTGTATAACCCATGAACAGCTCAGAGCTTCCAGATTTGTATGTCGCGAAACAACCCAGGAGTGGGGTGTTCCTGGGTTGTTAATGAAAAGGAGAACCAGTAGGCCATGGTTGGTGCACTTAAATTGTCCCCATGCTGCTGGGTGAAACAACCCAAGAATTGCCATTATGATGTTTGAACTGGTATGTTATTGGCTACAGTATTTCTAATTGGGAACGGACAATATGAGCACTTCGTATTTGTTCTTTGCCATCTTAACCGCCTCCCAGTCCATTTCTGGGTCCAATTCAAGGTTCTGGTTTTGCCTTGAGGCCCCCAACTGCTTGGGGTCACTGCCTTGGGAGGACTGCCTTCCTCTCTGTGCTTCCTCTCCAGATAGCGAGGTTTTTTCCCAGGAAGCCCTTCTCTGAGTTATCCTATTGAGTGAGGTGTGGGTTGGCTGTGGGAACAGAGGCCTTTCCATTCTTGCCCCTTTGGCTTTGGGATGCCCTACCCAGAAAGTCTCACATGGTGCTTCCCTTGGTGGCATTTTGGTGCTGGGCAAGAACTTGTTTTCCTGGACCTTTCTCAGCTTTCAGTTGTTCTAACCCTCTGCCGCTATTTTAATGCTGCTAATTATGTGCACCTGCACGGTTTTCCAATGTTGGTACATTTTGAATTGTGCCGCTGTTTTGAGGAGGAGAGAACAGTGCCGTAGGACAGAGAATGAACCTGCCAGCGGGCGTGGGCGCAGTGGCTTTAAGGCCAACAGGCAGGCCGTTAATAAGTTCTGTGCCCAGCTGTACCAGGCATTGTAAACGCTGCAACATAGGAGGCCCTGCCAGGGGCCGCTCTGCCTCACCAAGATGCCTTTCTGCCAGGGCCAAGCACCGAGCATCGGGGGAGGTGCCCCCTTCCATGTCGGGAAGCTGCGCCGTCTGCATGGACAGGATCTTGTACCTGTTTGGAGGGCACCACGCAAGTGGAAACACGAATAAGGTGGGTCTCTCCTCCCTCTCTACGGGAGGGAAGTGCATTGCCCGTTCCTGGGGTGGGGGGGCAGAGTCCTCTTTTCATTTTGGCAGCTGCTACCGTGAGAAGAGAGGAATGTCCTGCGGGACGCCTCGTTCCCTCCCAGAGCGCTTTGCACTGTACGCTTACCATACTTCAGGTTAGGTTTATCGTAAGATTTGTGTCAGAAACCAGTAGCTGAAAGGGGTGTGGTTCCCACAATAAAGCTTTTAACAGAGCCTTTAAATACGCATGTCTTTAAAGCATGTGTACCCCCATTCTTCAGCCAAAAGGGCTCCCAGAGTGGCTTGAAGACTATGCTCTTGCTGCTAATTAAACATTTCAACTCAGAGTTCTAGGGATACTCACAACGGTTTACAAAATACAAAACATAGTTGCAATAAGGTATGGTATAAATGCAGGTACCATAAAATACAGCATAAGATTTGTACAAAATTTAAAACTCTGTGAACCGCTGAAGTAATTTCAGTTTGCAAAAGAAAGCTAGGTCTATTAAAATGTCACATGCTAATAATAGAAGCAGGGCAGAGTCTCCTTTCAGGCTTATCGTCCAGCACAGGGTGGTCCAGCACATGCCCCCAAAGCCTCCTTGCTGCTCAAAGACCCCCACTCCCCCCGGTCCGGATTTCCCCAGTGATGGCCTGGGCACGATCGCACTGAGCTCTCCTGAAGCCACTGGTCATTCCCACTCTTTCCAGAGCCTCGGGAAGAGCACAGGTCGGGCAGGCAGCCTCATGAGAGCTCGCCTCAGCGTGCCACTCGCCACTCCAGCTGGTGGGTGCAAAGAGCAGGGCTGCCATGGAGCGTTGGTCAGCTCAGTGGGCCAGTTCTGAGAGGAAGGGGGGCTGGGGGCACCGGGGCAGGGGGAACAGGGAAGAGCGGGATGGGCCACTCCAGAGGGACTGTCCCTGTGCTTGGGCTGTGGCTGGAGAGGTCGCAGGCCCGCAGAGTGTTCTTTTTCATTCAATTGGTCCCAAAATCCTCCTCAGTCAAAATATGGAAATGCAAGTCATTGTGCAGCCCTCGGGTTCTGGGTCAAAGTGCTCATGCGGCCCTCGAGATAGGAAAAGTTGGACCACCTGGTCTAGCAAGACACAGCACAGAAAGGGGCTGGGGAGGGGGAAACAGCTGCCAGTTCTTAATGTTTCCATGTCATGCTACCAGCAAAGGTGCATTTAAAAAATTTAATTCTCTTGCCACTGGAATGCAGTCACACACCGATGGCTCTTGTGCTTTGAATCTTACATGACTTTTCTTTTGTCTGGACGTTGGAAGTCAATCTCATACCAGGTTTTTACCCGACCCAAATTGTGTGTCCAGTCTTCTTCTTGTGTCTCACTTGCAGGAAGAGGGGAGGCTGCCTCTACTGCTAATTGTGGGGATGAGGGGAAAACAATGTGTCGATTTAAGTTATTCCTCTTGCCTGGCCTTTCATGAGAATTGCCTGTGAACTTGGCCACCACATCTGTGAAATGCATCTGTAGACATTCAACGCTTTCTTTGCGCTGAGCACGCCCACAGTTTCTTATGCAGTGCCATGTTTCTGGGAAGCACAGTTCTTTCTCATTTTTGTTTCTGTCACTTGATCAAAATATTGTCCTGCCCCTTCTATACGTAATATTTCACGCATAGATTTCGTTACAACTCAGTGTCTTCTCAAAACACACGAATGACAGTTCTGTACATGGATTCTATAATACAGTATTTAAAGATTAATTCCCAGACACTGAAGAGGGGACTCTCCACTTCCGCAGAGCTGCTCCCTGTGGAAGCATTTCCAGCGTGGCTGATCTCTCAAAAGTAGGCGTGTGAAAGAGGCTCGCTGAGTGACTGACTCTCTTGGCCAAAGGAAGCGTCTCTCCCCCCTGTGCACAACTGGTATTCCTTTGAGACACCGAGTTTACTTTCAAAATCTGTATCTTTGCTTCCTTGCAGTTCTACATGCTGGACTTCAGGTCGAACGAGCAAGCGCTTCAGTGGGTCAGGGTGGAATGCCAGGGTGTTCCTCCATCATCAAAGGACAAACTCGGAGTTTGGGTTTATCGAAGCAGGTAAGCATGCACGCGCACACCGACCTCGGCTGCTCCTGCCCTCGCTTTCCTCTCCAGGAAATGCCTGTGCAGTTGCAGAAAAGGCAGCTGGAAGAATTGGCTCCGCATACAGCCCATGCGCTGGGCACATCTTCGTCCTGTTAGTTACTGTAATGGTGTCCCTTCAGTTTCATTAGTAATGCAGTTTGGATCATTCTGTGACATATCTTGAGCTTTTCGAAGCCATACTCGCTTCCAAGCATGGACCTCCGGGCAGCATCCACAGCATTTCCAATGCAAACCAAAACACCGCCATAACATTGGGGGGGTGATAAGCAAACGCCGTCCTGCTGGCTGGAGCCATCCAAGGCAAAGCACCCGGCTAAATGAAACCGCTTGGCCAGCACGCAAACAGGATGGCGCATGCGCACCGGTCTCGCCGCCTCCAAGCTGCCTGGAGTCTTTGCATGGAAAGAAGCCACATGCCGGAGTGTTGCTTTGTATTTGATGTCCCTCTCCATCTGCTTACAACAACTTAACCAGACCGGGCTGTGATTTCAACAGGCTGGAAATGCCTTAGACCAGCAACAAGAGGGGCGGCAGGGGGAAGCACCCAGCTGAGAAATGGTGCCTCCGGTAGTGGCGTGGCAGGGGCTCCCCTCTCTGCTTAGGGCTGCCTTCATTCCGAGCCTCAGCAGCAAAGTCTGCCCTGGCCTTGACTGGCACCGTGCTCTGCGGGCTTCGGCCTGCTGCTGCAGCCGCTGAGGTGGGGTGCCCGGGGCCCCTCAGAAGAGAGCCCCCCTGGTTAGCGCCAGGGCCTTGACTGGGGAGCGAAGGCCCGCGTTGTCGCCCAGGGGTCGGGGCCAGGCCATGCCGATGCTGGGACCCCGAGGGAACCACCGCCCCAGCTGGTCCCGCTCCTCCCAGCATCTCAGGCAGGTGGGGCCGGCGGAGTGGTAGCGCAGTGTTCGTACATGCTCCGTGCCATCGAGTGGCCGCACAGCGGGTGGGCCACCAGGGCCCCATCTCGCCGCGACCGGGCAGCCCCAAAGCCAGGAGCGGTCCCCGTAGGCCACAGGTGCTTGAGCATGAATTGCGGGTGGGCCACGGATGCGCTGGGGAAGCTGTCGACCTGCGCATTTCGGGCTCTTTGCTGAGGGTGCTTCTAGCAAGGTCCGTGCATGGGATCGTCAGGGCAGCCTGCTGAGGGAGCAGGCTGTGGGGTTTGGTTTCCGTTCCCAAAGGATGGGGGCCGCCTGCAGCACCCCAGGTCCGGCCCCTTCAGTGCCAGTGGGCGCCATCGGAACTTCCCCCCCTTGCCAGCGTGCAATCTGTGCTGCGTGTCGTCTTGTCGCTAGGGTAGGCTCTCACTCCTCTGGACGTCTTCTGTTGAACAGGCTAGTCTTCTTCGGTGGCTACGGCTACTGCCCTGAAGGGGAGCAGATCGGAACTTTCGAGTACGACGAAACTTCCTTTTGGGTGAGTCGGTCGGTTTTTCTCCTGGCCGGCCATTGCTTGTTCAAGGAAAGCTGCCAGCCCATCATAGTCTGCATGCAGAAGCCAGCACCTGTATTTCCATTTAAGAGCATCAGCACAACACCCCGATACTCAGATCATGTCATGCCATGCGAAACGCCGTACGCGGCTTCCGCTGTGGCACGCTGAGCTGTGCGGCGTGTGGGGGAGCTGCTCCTCCTCGTCTCTTCAGCCGCTTCCATTGAGCTTCACTGGATGACTCCGCTGGATTCTGGTTTTACGAGAGACAGAAAAACATCTGCCTACCCAATTTCTCCACATCTGCCAACTTTATCCACATTTTTAATATGCCCCCATTTTCCTAAGCTGAAAAGCCCAAGGATTACCCATATTCAGCCTTTCATACTATTATTACAAATACGGGGGGAAGGGCAGCCTTCTCCCATCAGAGCCACGTTCGGGGTGTTGTTAACGCTGCTGGCCAGATGGATTTGGGCCGTTCCTCAGAGATCTTTCCTCGTTTACAGAATGCTGGCCTTCCTAGAGGATGGAACGACCACGTGCACGTCCTGGACACAGAGACCTTTACCTGGAGCCAGCCTGTGACCACGGTAACCCTCACTCGGAACCCTCTCGACCAGCCTTCCGCAGGCGCGTTCCCTGCGTCCTCCCACTCGCCCTCCTCCTGCCGCAGGTCGCCCTCCTCACGGCCTTTCCGCTCGTGCCGTTTAGGCACAGGCATTGCGGTGGGGCAGCCGCAATCCCAATTTAGATCTTGCCTCGAGGAAGCCACGCCTCGCAGCCCCCTTTCCTGTCCTGTGATGACACAGGCCCTTCTCACGAGGGTCGTTTGAGGTCTCTGGGCAGGACGCGTGAGCGGGAGGTCAGGCAGGGGTAATGGCTGGCGTTGGGTGAGCCCCGCTTCCCATGGGGCTACGTGTGGAATCCCCTCTTCCCTTTCTGCCAGGGCCGCACCCCTGGCCCTGCAGTCAGCTCCTGGCTTGTGTGCGGCAGCCCCCGCCTCGCACGCAGAGGTCCCAGCTTGGGTCCCCACAGCACCTCACAGCCTGGCCATGAAAGTCTTCTGCCGGCCGGCCTCAGCCGGGTGGGTCTGCCGTGCCTGGGCTCCCTCGCAGCAGCTTCCCTCCGGTAACCTTTGCTGGATTTCCTCCCCAGGGTAAATCGCCGTCACCCCGAGCGGCGCATGCGTGTGCCACAGTCGGCAACAGAGGCTACGTCTTCGGGGGCAGATACCGCGTGAGTGCAAGGGGGGCGCAGACCCGCTGCTGCTTTCCGAAGCGCACGTGGCCCTGGCTCACCCCCCTGCTTCCCTCCGCAGGAGTCCCGGATGAACGACCTCTACTTCCTCGATCTGGACAAGTGGGAGTGGCACGAGATGTGAGTCCACGGCCGCTTCCTCCTCGCTGGGAGGCTTGCGTCCGGCACGGGGCGCCCTCTGTCGGTCTTGCCTCCCCTCTGGGAGACGGTGTATCGCCCCCGGAGTGCGTCCCGTCTCGGAACAGCTCCACGGCGCTCCCTTCGGCATTGCGTTCCGCACTAGGGCCGGCCGCCTCCTTTTCCCATGAGCTGCAGACCGCCACACCCCCAGATGGTGAAACCTCCCGCCAGGCTTGACTTGGCCAGGGAATTAGACCCGGGGGGATCGTCTCCAGGCCGGGTCTTCGCCGTGCCCGCCACTCCCACACCCCACTCCTGCCAGGCGCACGGCCTGCTGCTTGGATGTGGTTCAAGCTTTCCGGCCGGCCCCCAGTGCCAACCGTGTCCGGTTTACTTTGTTTTTGACCTAGAGTCACGCAGGGCATTTGCCCCGTTGGTCGGTCTTGGCACTCTCTGACTCCCATCTCAACCGATCACCTCTTCCTCTTTGGCGGGTTCACCACCGACAAGCAGCCACTCAGTAAGTAAATCCCAGGAGATCCACATGCCGTCTTTACGGTGCTTCTGGGGGCCCTTCCTGAACTGGTCCGGCGTGTGCCTTCCGCCAGCTGAGCAAACGCTTGCCTTCGACCACGATCCTACCGGGGCGCGCTCCGCGGGCACCTGTGGGCGCGAGCCCCGGTTCGCAGGGTCAGCAGGCAGAGCCTCTTGCGGCTGCGATTTGAGGGGTGCTGTCCTCTCCCTCTCCGCCTTGCAGGTGATGCCTGGATCTACTGCATCAGTAAAAACGAATGGATACAGTTTGAGCACAATTACTCAGAGAAACCCCGGTAAGGAGTGCCACGCCCTCAGTCCCCATCCCTGCCCCTGCCCACCAGGTGCCCTCTGGGCGTGCTGCGCATCAGCAGGGCCGTGCTGTCTGGGAGCAACGGAAGACGCGCCTCGGGCGGGCGCCCGGTCTGGGAAGGCTGGCTTAAGTTTAAATTTCAATAGGGGCAAATGCAGAGTGCTGCACCTCGGAGAAGGAACCCAAGGTGCAGTGGCAGGACGGGGGGTACTTGGCTCGACAATACTGCGGGCAAGAAGGACCTTGGGATGGTGGCTGATCGCAAGCCGGACACGAGTCAGCATTGTGAAGTGGCTGTGAGGAGGGCAGGTGCTAATTGGGGGTGCATTAATGGAAGCATCACTTCCAAATCACGCGAAGTGCCGACTCCCCTTGACTCATCACAGTTCAGGCTCCGGCAGGAGTCCTGCGACCAGTTCTGGGCACCAGTTTCAGAAAGATGCAGACCAGCTGGGAAGGGTCCCGAGATGGGCGCCAAGGATGATCCGGGGACTGGAGGCAAAGCCCTGTGAGGAGCGATTGAGAGAGCCGGGCTTGTTGAGCCTCAGGAAGACGGAGGGGAGACACACTGGCACTCGGCGAGTACTTGAAAGGTGGTCGGGAGGAGGGAGGACAGGCCCTCTTCTTGGTCATCCCAGAGTGCAGGGCATGGAATGAAAAAGGGGCTCAGGACGCAGAAAGCCAGGTTCTGGCAAGATAGCGGGAATGTCTCCTGACTTTGGGAGCACTGAGGCAGCGGAGCTGGCTTCCCAGGGAGGTGGTGGGCTCTGCTGCAGTGGGGCATTCAGGGTGCAGCTGGGCGGCCGTCTGTCCTCCGTGGCCTCTGCGCTGCTGTGGATGCACAACACGGACACTCGCAGCTCTTCCAGTGCGTTTTCTCTCCCCCCCCCCCCCGGTGTCGGCTGTGTTTCTGGCCATCGGGTCCTCACACTCCTTTGATCCGTTCACAGCCTCTGGCACACGGCCTGTGCGAGCGACGAGGGAGAGGTGGTTGTCTTTGGGGGCTGCGCCAACAATTTACTCGCCCATCAGAAAGCAGTAAGTTTGCTTGCTTGTTTCCTGTATGCGGCACCTTGGGGCACAGGCTTTTGGCTGAGGGGGGCAGTTGAGTGTCCCATTCATGGCCCCATCTCACCTTGACACTTTGATGCAGGGCCTGCGGACTTCAAACCTCCACTGGCCATGGCGGGAGGGCAATTATGTCCAGCCTGGCCACTGGGTGCGGTAGTGGGGTGGGGGGGTGTCTGTCTGATGCAAGGGCTTACTGGGGAACTGGGTGGCAAGGGGCCGCTGTTTCCAAACCGCAAAATCAGACTTTTGTCCTCCGCCATAGGAAGGGCCGTTCCCCTTGGCCCACGAATGCTAGATCTGAGGGTGTGGGCTGGAGGCTTACTGGGGGTGCTCAGTTGGCCCCCGGGCTTCCCTTCAGACCCACGCGACCCGGACAGCCCAGTCGCCTCCCCGAGTCCCTCAGCCGCCAGTCCGAGCCTCAGTGGCAGCCTGTGCCGGGCCGCATGGCGCTTCGTGCAGACGACGGCCTTCCCTGCGCAGCGTTGCCGCAGCTAGGGAAGCCGAACGGGCAGAAGCCTTTGCACCAATGAATCCAGCAGCCACCTTGCCAAGATGCGGGAAGGGACTAGATGCTTGGACAGACTGGGCGATAGTTGCACCTGGCTGGCTGGGTACACACACTCACACTTATTACTGGTTATTGTGTGTCTCACACCTTTACCTTGGATTCTTTGTTTGGAGTTGTGTGTGTGGAACTTCAGGTTCCCTGGTCAAATCCTGCCCAGCTGGGCTCCCACAGGTGACACACAACCCTCCCCATGGCCACCCATCATTGTGGGGTTTCCCAGCTTCTGTGCAGCCTTTCCCCCCTTCTCAGAGGTTGAAGTCTCTCTCCTGAGGGTTGGTTACTGGCAGGGAGGACTTCCAGGCACAGTCCCAGGCGCGTTCAGACAGCGGCAAGCAGAGCTGCCTGGAGCTGCGAGGCAGGAGGGCTCTAGGCCCTTCTCAGGGAAATCTCGCTTCAGATTCTGCGTTTAGAGCTGCACCCTGGTAGGGTGCCATTATCCCACCCCATCTCACTTTTGTCCCCAGCCACTGGAAAGTGGCCTCTGAGAGATGCTTTGAAATCGAAGTCAGCCCAAAATAACGCTTTTTCATTCATGGAATTCCAGTACTAATTAACTGTTCTTTTTTTCCAGGCACATAGTAATGAGATCCTTGTGTTTTCTCTTCAACCAAAATCTCTTGTAAGGTATGTGGGGAAAAAACAAAGCACTATTAACTGCTCAGGAACCCCTGCACTGGCTGAATTTACAGGATGAGAAAACAGTGGCGTTGATTTGATACGGGCACTGAAGGAAACTAAGCTGGAATATGTCTGAGGAGAACCAGGGACAGGTCTTCCATGCAGCCTGCCTGCCAAGAAAGAGGGAGCCAAGCTATTATCTCGGACCAGCAGCTGATCAAGGAAACAACTTTTCCTTGCTGAGCGCTTGGAATTGTCCGCTCTCCTCTTTGCTTTGGCAGCTGCTCATGCAAGAGAGATTTTCTCTTTTGTGGGAGAGGAACCAGAGGAGGAAGCTGCTGAGGGAGCCCTATTTTCTCCTCAGGAGACATGCAGGGACTTGCTATGCTTGCTCCTGAGTAGGCTTGAAACAGGTAGAAATCCCAGTGGACCCTGACTCCAGGCTGCACTCACATTGCATTTGGATACACCCACAAAATGCACAACTAAGGCACTTCCCAGGTTGAAATTCAGCCCTTTTTGCGCAAAAGGTTCCCTGCCTTGCCCTAGAAGCGAATGTGAGTGAATGCAGGCGCGCTCAGAATGCCACCCTCCCCAAGTGCCTGCAAAACCAGGCAGCCTGGCTCGGACGGCCAGCTGAACTGCATCAGCAGGTCACTTATGCAGCAAGCTTGCCCACAGGTTAGCGAAAAGGGTCGATGAAGTGTGAGAGCCGAGATCCCATTCGCATGGAGACGGGAGAGAAGTACAGGCCCCGCAGACCCCCCGTCCCCGGCCTGGATTACTGTCGTGTGCTCTATGTGGGGCTGCCTTTGGAAGCGGCCAATCCATAAGAAAGCAACACGGCTGCCAAGGACAACCTGTCCTAAAGAGCATATCACACCAGTCCCGGCATCACACCAGTCCCGGCGGCCGGCAAGCAGCATCGCCGTCTGGCCCAGGCCAGAGCGCCGATGTTAACATACGAAGCTCCAAGTGGCTCGGGGCCAGCATATGCGAAGGTACGCCCGTCTCTGCGCAAATCCTTCAGGCCCCCTATGGATGCCCTCCTCTGTGGGCCCCCGCAGGGTACAGGGCGAAATGGCAAGGGAAGGGGCTTTTTCTGTTATTGCGCCTCGTCTTTGGAGTGCTCCTCCCGAGGAGGCGCCGTTGGCATCTCACGGCTCCATTTCCTTGGCCAGCTACCCTTGCGCTTGTTTTTATTGCAACTCGTCGTTCTATCATGTTGCTCTCACTGCTCGCTTTAATCGTTTTGTGCATCTGTCCTCCCTGTTTCCATCTGATATTTATTGGATGTACTAGTTATTGTGTTACAATTTTATTCTCTGTACTGCTGATCGCTGTTTTTGTGAGCCGCCCAGAATGCTCTCGGACTATGGGGCAGCATACAAATACAAGAAATAGGGCGTCTTCCAGGTGTGTTGAACCGAAACCTCCAGCATGACCTGCTTAAGCAGGAAGCTCATCTCCTCGAATGAGGATGCAAGTGTGTTAGGAAGTGAGCAGGAAGGTTTTGGAGCCTGGCGTTAAGCCACTGTACACAAATGCCACTGGTAGCGATGCTTGGGTGCACTCTCTCTCTTGAGCATGGCATCAAGTGCCTGCCGTTCAGCCTGCATCAGAGAGTGCCAGAGCCACAGTTCTCACCACCGAGCAAGGCTGCTCTTCAGGTGCCGTATCTTGGGTGGTGTCCGATGGTGCTCTCATACGGAGTTTGAAGGCTGGATGTGTCCTTTAGCGTGTGTGTCGTCCTCTTGATGTGGTCAGCGAGTACTAGCAGCATAGAGCTAAATTAACTCCCATACTCAGGTGACTTTTTAAACTCTTCCCTGGTCTACTTTACTAGCAGGTGAGACTTTGTTTCCAGTGCAGAGGTGCATTAAAAGATACTGTCTCCCTGAATTTTATTTGTGTTGTCTCTGCTCTGCATATATCATAATTTCAATTCTATAATCTAATTTTACTGCTCCCTGTATTTCAGATCACATTTCTGTCGTCATGTATAGTGGTCTTTTTAAATGCAGCTTATGATGATTTTAAAGCACTCTGATCAGCTCCCGTCTGCACAGTTCATGTGTGTTTGGTCTTGGTATAATACGCTTTGCCTAACAGAAATGTGCGCCGTGAGCACGGCCCATACACGCTTCTCTCTCCTACCAGGCTGTGCCTGGAGTCCATTATCTGCTTCAAGGAGCTCCTGGCCAGCTCCTGGCACTGCCTGCCCAAGCACCTGCTCCACAGCCTGGACCGGCACTTCGGGAGTAACAACACGTCCGGCTCCTAGGAAGCGCGAGCAAGCGAGTGCTGGCTGCACGGGGCACGGACGAGCCCCTCTGCGAAGCGAAGCAAGCGTCTGACCGGTCCCGTGCGGCAAAATGTGACATTTCTGTGGGTCAAACATCTTTGCGTTGTAAGTAGTGAGCCCCTCCTGCCTGGACCCTTTTTGTTGTTGCATGTGAATGGCTTAGAGAAGAACCTATTTTTGTGTAAAAATTTTGTTTGCAATAAACGTATTTAATGCAAGTGTCAAGGGACTCGGTGCTTCGCTGACCCCAGAGCGCTGGGAGGTTCACTCAGGCAGCAGAAAGTGGCTCATCCCGCTTCATGCCAATCAGCGTCCTTCAGCCAGCATGGAAAGAGTTGACCATGCTATGAATTAATTCCTCTTGCCTTAACGTTCCAGAACACGGTTAGCTTCTTTGAATAAAAGCAGAAAAGCAGGCTAGGCATCTCTTCGTTCAAGCCTAACTTAATATCTTCCAAGCACCAACGGGAATCCAGCTCATTATTTGTTTAATCAATGTATATGCCTCCCCACTAGCCATAGGCTCTCTGGGCAGCTTACATCATATTAAAATCCATAAACAATAGAAAGACATCACAATTCAAACCAAAGGGCCAATAACAATAAAATAAACTCTGAAGATTCAACAAAATCAAACAACAAAATAAATGAAATATATAGCTAAAACCCCAAATAAGACAAAAACCATTAAAATTTAATTATCTCAATATCTGGCATTTAAACCCAATTGACAGCAGCACATAACAAAATTAAGATTAAAATTTCCATTAAAAAATCTAGAATTCACCTAATTAAAACAACTATGGAACAAGTATGCCTTTAGTTGGTACCTGAAGGCCAGAAGAGGAGGTGCCAACCAGCTCTCCGGTGGAATTGAGTTCCAAAGTCGGGGTGCTATACTGGAGAAGGCTTTCCCCTCACTGGGGGGCGGAAAGCGGAGGAGGGCCTCAGATGAAGACCGCAGGGACCGGGCTGGTACGTCCGGGGAAAGGCGTTCCCTTAGCCTGGCCCAGGCCAGGCAGGGCTTCATGGGAAGCGTTCCAAGGATGCCCAGAAGAGGAGGATGCAACCAGAGCAGTTTTCCCCCCGCTTGAAAATGGACGTGAGCATCCCTCCAACGGGGTTTGGTGAGGCGCGGCTCTTGCTCCATTGCCAAAGACCCAGGACGGGCGACACGAGACGCGTATGAAGACCTTCCACGTATGGGCCTACCAAGTGGGAGCCAGCGTGTGGCAACTACCCCCCCCCGCCCCTGACTTCCACAAAAGCAGTAGCAGTAAACATAGCACTGGACTTTATTAGCAAACCTGGAAGGCGCTCCAGGGAGGAGATGCCACGCCCGGCACTGGGCACAGGCGGCTGGAAGCTGCAGGTGTGAGAAGCCGCGGGCAGCTGCCATCACTTCTTTTTCATGTTGAGGAGGTTAGGGGCCGACACCTTCACTTTGCCTGGAATATTCCTGGATAGTTCTGTATCCTATGCAAAAGAATCACACAATTCCGTCTTGATTAGCTGTAAACGCAGAGCAGGAGCGGCAAACAGGTCAACTTGAGCTAGACTGCAAAAACGGGGCTGCCGAGACTCGGATTTTAATGCAAGCCATGCTGCAGTTCATCCCCGTTTTAAACTGATTTTCTTGGAATGTCTCAAACTGGAAACCAATGAACAAACACCACACGGCCCCGTTCCCCAGGCTGGACGGAAGCAGTCGGCACCCGCCAGGAAGGTGGGTGCTGCTCGCCCTCGCCCACGGCTACAGACCCCCACACCGCGGCGAGAGAAGCAGCCTCCTACCTTCACGCTGCGCAAGAGATCCTTCTCTCTGGGGGTCGCCTCCTTGGACTGCATGAAATTATGCAGAGCCGTCTTGGCAGCTGTTGAAACAAGCCCCGGCTTTATACGGCCCATCGGTAGAGTTGGAAGTGCGTAAGAACAGCCTTGAAAACTGGCCCACAGCAGCCACACCCAGCAAGCGTGGGTGGCCCACAAGCCACACCACCGGGCTCTTCGGTAGCCACGGGGGGGGAAGCACTCCGCCGGCCCTCGGCGCCTGTGTGGTTCTTCACCACCACAGCTGAGCGTGAGGAGTGGGTGTTTTACGACCTGTGCAGATCTAAGGGGGGGGGTCCCTCTGGCTCCCCAAAGAGGACCCGCCAAGCCTTTCCACACATCCTTCTTTGCCGCTTGAGCCCCACTCCCAATGCAGTGTGTGAAAGATAACCAGGTGCAACCGTGAAACAGCCCAACAGAAAGGCACCCACAGATGTGTCCCCGTCCCAGACCACTCCTCAGACACCCAAACCCTGCCAGGCACCTTCTTGCCGCAAAAGCACCAGGAGCTGCACAGAGCAGGTAAGCAGGCGGCCGCGAGGGCCAGAGCCTGCCTCAGCCTCCGTGGCGATCCCCAACGCCCGAGGACTGACGGCCGCGTGTGCAGAGGAGGGCGGGAGGGGTCGTGGCAGCCTTCCCCATGGCCCCGCTGGCTGGGAGGGAGGGGTGCTGCACCCCGACATGTCTTGAGGGCACCACGTGGAGGATGGCCGATCCCCCGGGTGAGCTGGCCCTTCGCTCACGGGCGCTGTGCTTCCTGCTCCCTCCGCCCCTGAAATCACGCGTCCCTCTTCACAAAGAGCGTCCTCAGGAGCAGCTCATTTAAGACACAGGCGTCGGAGCACGTGAGAATCGGCACACGCAAGTATGTGCAGGGGCTTCGTCCTATGGGCCCGAGCCCCAGAACTTTCCGGCACTGGCGTCACCCTGCTCGCAACGCACATGTTCACTGCATAATGCCGCTCTCCTGATTCTGACCCTCAGGCCGACAGGACAAACTGGCGGCCAGGAGGAGCGAGGGAGTGCGGGGAGTACCTTTTCCCTTCTTCTGCGTGCCGGGCGTCAGCTTGACTTTGTATCTAGAAAAGAAGAAATAAGCCGCGGTTAATGGGAGGCTTGCGAACTCCCGCCAGCACCCACGGCAGCAAGAGCGGGCGCCACTCACTTGTAGTTGGTCATGGCGGTGTACGGGGCGCAGACCGGGATGGCGAAGAGCAGGACGTCTTCTGCGTGGGGCTGCCCAGTCAGGGAATCAAACAGGGTCTGCTCTTCCTGGAATCGCAGAAGGCGTTCCGCGTGAGGCCACACGGGCGGAGCTGGCAGACCCCCCACCCGCTGGGGGGGTCAACCCTGTTATCCTATCAGTTTTATCTTCCGCCCCTCAAATGGACGCTGCATGGTGCACGTTGGTTTTAAATGCACTGCACGCCTCTTCAAGAGGCCGAAGGGGGAGGAATGAGGGAGCTTTGCCCACTTCATGCAGCAAAGCGGTGGTAGAAAAGCCGCTTGTGGCACCAGCTGCAGCGGCAGAAACCCATGTGAGGGAGGAGTGTCCAGCCGACTGGACAGCACCTCCCGGGTGGGGTGTTCCTACATGTCCCCCTCCTCCCCAGGATGCAGCTCCCTTCTCTTTGGGGCAAGGGGCCCCCGGATCCCAGAAATCGCCCCGAATTACCTCGTGGGTGTGGAGGTCTGGATCGTGCTCCTCCTGCAAAGGGCAAACGAGGCGCTGAGCCTTCTTCAGAAGACGGCATGGCCGGGCAGAGGTTGCGCCCGGAGGCGACCTCACTCGGAGACAGCTGCCCGCTGCCGAGCCCAGACGGAACCGCTGGAGAAGGAGCGGCCCGCCCTGGCAGGGGCAGGGGCACCTCCCCACTTCGAAAAGCAGCCAAAGCAGCAGCATTAACGAAATACACACAAACAGCTTGAGGAGGGTGGCGCATGAGGGAGGGCCAGCTGGAGAAGAAAAGCCAAAAATGTGGGGGGGGGGGGCAGTGCCCTGTTTCAGTCCCTCACAGCCTCTCTGAAGCGGGCAAGACTGGCTGGCGTCCTGAGCGGCTGCGTTCTGGCAGGAGAGGCGGTTACGCTGCAACATTTGGTCGCAGCGCCACTCCGCTGTGGGGTTCTGCGACGACGCTAGTAGCCCCGGGAACTGGGGGCCAGCCAGTCGCTGGCGCTTGCCCTAAAGCCCAGCGAGGCAAGCAGGACTCAGGGTGGGGCTCGCTCTGCTCCCTGCCCCACGCCCTGAACCAGCCATTCAGACCAAGGCTGCTCTCCACCCCCAACCAGGAGGTCTTCCCGCAAGTGCCTGGCGAGGGTGGGAGTCTGCCGGAAAGAGAGAAGGGACGCAGAGCAACACTGAACGATGGAACCCGCTTCCTCGAAAGGCAGCGAGGGCCACGGACCCGGGTGGCTTTCCAAGAAGGCGGGCAGAGCCCGGGAGGAAGACGCCACCAGCTGCCTGCAGCGCTCACCTTCTCGTCTGGGTCCTCCTCCAGAGCGATGCCCTGGAATTCGGGGGTCAGCTCCTCGATCCTGGCCCGCTCCACTGGCCTCTGGGCCTGCCGGAGCTTCTGGGGCTGCTTCCTCGCCTGGTCCTGGCCCGTCTTTCCCTTCCTGGCTTTCTTCGGCTTCTCGTCTTTGGCTGACCCTGCGGACTGGATGGGGCAGAGCACAGGATTAGGGCCCGGGGGGGGAGGGCAGGGGAGCACCCCCAGAGCGGGGGGGGGGGTGCGCCACAGCTCCGACTTACGCCCAGCAGCTGCATGATCAGCTCCCGGTCCTCCTCGTCCTGGTCCTTGTACTTCTCCCGGATTTTCTTCAGCTTGCTCTGCCAGTGAGAGAGAGAGGGAGATGGGGGCACCGCTGGCAAGAGCTGGAAGGAGCAGCTGTGGCGGCCAAGCCCCCGAAGGCCCAGGCCAGGGCATCGCAGAGGCTCGCCCCACGGGCTGGGAGGGCTTCCTCGGAGCTTGCGGGGCGGCCCCGGCGGCATGGGGCGGCGAGCCAAGCCGCTCGGCCCCGGCGGGCCTGCGCCCTCCGAGTGCGCCGCCCCCATCGCGGGCTTCCGCCTACCTTCTGGCCCCGCTTCACGGGCTGCTGGGCACCCACGTTCTTGCTGGGGCGGGGAGGAGGCGCGGGCTGGGCCCCTTCCCCCTCTTCCCTCCCCCTTGGCGGGTCAGGCTCCTCCGGCTCACTTGGCTGCGCCTTCTTCTTCATCTCCCTGGGGAAAAGGAGCACTTCAGACCCTCCCCGGCGCCCCAGTGGGCTGACTGGTTTCTGCGCCACTCCGCAGAAAGGGCACCTCAGGCAGAAGAGGAGGCAGGCCCCACTGGCCACCCCGCCACCCCCTGGCTCTGCATGCAGGCTGGGGTGCCACGGAAGCCAATGGGGAGGGGCGGGGAGGGAGCCACGGGGGGCGAGACTCCCCGGCCGGCGCCTACCTCCGCTCCCTGGCCGAGCGGTGCCTCCGGCCCTGGTTCCTGCCGTCACCCTGCGAAGGGAAAGGCATGAGGCCCCCCTGCTCTCCGCAGGGGGGCCCCAAAGCATCGCTCCCCCACACCCATCCAGCCCTGCAGCCTCCAGGCGGCCCTGCTCCTTTCCCCAGCCCCCCACCGGCCGGCAGCTTCCCAGCTTTGGGCATCCTCAGCTGCCCCTCGAAGCAGCTGCCCCTCGAAGGCGTTGGAACAGCTTTCCGCCTGGGCCCCCCCGGCTCTGGCTGCCCCCCCACCCCCGCAAGGAGTGCAGCCCTCGGGGCGAACAGGGCACCCGCCCCCCTGCCAGCAGCCAAGAGCTCACCGCAGGCACGGCGTCCTCTCTGGGTGTCGGGTGCAGCCGGGATCTGCAGCACAAAGCAAAGCGGGGGTGTGTGTGTGTGTCTGTGTGTCCAGGTGTCCACCAGCATCAAGACTCAAGGAATCAGGCGAGCGGCTGGCCTTTCCCGCCTCCACAGGAAGGGGCCAAGGCCCTTCCTCCAGGGATGTGGACATCTGCCCCGGCTGAGGAAGGTACTGCATCCCCACCGCCCGGCAGGATGCCAGGCGAGCCCCCCTCAGGAAGCCCTGAGCTGCACGGCGCCCTCAGCAGGTCCAGCTGGCGCTCTCCCACCCCGGCCCCCCCAGGACGCCCTTGCAGATGTCGCTTCTGGGTAGTCACGCAGTGGTGTGGGGCAGAGGCGGTCCTGGGCCCCACTTAAAAGGAGCACAGCTGGGTGAGAGCGAGGGGCCGGGCCAGGCCGGGCCGGGCGCCATGTCCCGGGAGCGAGCCAGCCGAGGCTCATCCCGCGCACTCAGCTGCCCCCCAAACGTGGCCGGTGCCCCTTCCCCACGGCCCCAAGAGCAGGACGGGAGCTTGGCCTGACCCAATTACCTCTGAGCCTGGAGGTGCGACAGATCGATGGTCGTGTCTGGAAAGCGCATCTCCTCCGAGGCCTCCTGCGCGGCCTCCTGCCCCTCCTCCTCGGAGCCGGAGGATCCTTCCGGAGCGTCGCCTGCACCGTGCCCTTCGCCCTCGGGCTGGCGCACTTCCCCCTCCTCAGGCCCGTCCGTGGCCTCCCCCGCCTCGCTGCTGCTGTCGTCTCCCTCTGGCGCGTCTGGGGAACAGCCGGGGACGGGGGGCTGAGCTGCGTTTGTGGCTCAGGACGCACAGCACAAACATGGCAGCTCCTGGCATTCGAACGGGAGGGGAGGCGCAACGGCACGCCCGAGAAGGGGCAGGGGTCTGTGGGGCCCCACCCTCCTGCACGGCCAGCATGCGCCCAAGAGGCTGCGGAGGAGGAGGAGGAGGCCCTTGGCCAGCCCTGGCACCAGCGGGTTCCTGGGGGGTCCACGGGCTCTCGGACCACCCCGGGGAAAGCCACCCTGGCCCAGGAAGCCACCGCTCGGGAGAAGCCCCTCCGGCAGGCCACATCCCCTTGCACCACGGCCCCCGGCCCCAGGCGCGGAGGTGGGCTGTGCTGGTCCGGCAGCACGGAGCCCGCGGCACCCAACCCGAACCCGGAGCCTGAGGACCGGCTGCCGAGGGGCGGGCCACAGCACCCGTCGCTCCCAGAGAACAGCTCCTGGCAAGACAGCGCTTGGGGCAGGCGGGCAGGCAGGCACGGGGCAGGGCACAAGGTTGGCACGGGTCTGGGGCAGGGGCAGCCCCCCCCACAATCTGGGCCCCGCACCAGATTTTTCAGCTGCTCTCTAGAGCCGCTCCTCGCTGCAGAAGCTTAAGGTGCGTGCGCTGCAGAGTTCCTTCCCAGAACAGAACACCTGGGCGCTGCTACCTTTCACTCCTCCCCATCTCCCCCTCCCAGGAGGCCCGCCAGGTGGACGCAGGGGCACGCTGCCCCCCGGCCGGGCTTCCCTCAGAGGCTCCCTGGCAGCCTGTGGAGGACGGACTGAGCCCCTGGGCACCCCGAGGGGAGCGCGCCGTTGGCAGCAGACCTAAGGGCTCCGTCTCCTCCGCCGCCAGCTCACTGGTGCTGCTGGTCACGGTCCCCATGTCTTCATCTTGCACCTTGACCTTCCGCTCGCCCTGGTGCCGCCACACACACGATTCGTCCACCTGGGGGAGGGCAGAGACGACGTGTCAGCGGCTGCGAGCAAAATTCCCGGGCAGCTCAGGCCAGCCCTCCTGGAACAGACCCCACAACATGCCTGACTCCCGGCACGAGCCGACTTGAGAGCTCGCGTGTTGAAACGCGAGTGTCAACTATAACGGAGGTTGTGCTTTATTGCTGAAGCACACAGAGATGAGCAGCGGTATCTCTCACTTATCCACCCTCTGGATTTATTATTTATTTCATTTAGGCTATTTGTTTTACTCGTGCATTACAAGGCATGAGATACCTTCTGGATCAGGACAACAAGCCCTACTTGGGTGGTGCACCCAAGCAGATCCTACGCGTCTCCCTTGGCTCATTAAAGATGCCAAGCAGACTCTGCGGAGCAAAAGCCTTCCTGCAACCGCGGGCCCTTCCTCCCCTCCGGGGACAAGTCAACCACAGAGGCAGCTCCTGCTCACGCCCAGGCCCAGCCCGCTTCTGATCCAGGAATGCCCAGGTATTCCAAAAAGGCTCTGGGCGATGGTGCCAAAAGCAGGTGAGCAACACACGGCCCATCTGGGCCCTCCGCTCCTCTCTGAGGCCCCACCTGCCACTGCCGCACCGCTGAAAGGTGGAGCTGTGGCGGAGGCAGACAAAAGGCGATTTGGCTTGCGCGGAAGTTCAGGGAAGCATTTGCGGAGTGTTTCAAACACGACTGGGGCGGGAGCTGGCAGAGCCGCATGTCGGAAGGCTGCCCTGTTCCAGCGGGACACGCGAGAGTCAATGCGCATGGCTGCTGAACGGCCTAACGACAAACCATCACCTTAAATAAGAAGCTAAAGCCCATCATCAGGTAAGAAGGAGGCAGGAAATTCTTCTTCCCTGGAAAAAGCAAGAGACACGATCACGGCTCAGCCGGGCCACACAGAAGTGGAGTCTGGCCGCGAATGAGAAACCCCCTCCTCACAGAGCAGACGGCCCCAGTCCGCCCCCACCCCACAGACCAGCGCGGGAGCCACGGGGAACCGCACAGGGCCCCCCGAACCGGGCCTCACCTCGGACCATGAAGCTTCCTGTGGTGAGGTACTCTCCGGTAGGAGCGGTTTTCGAAACCTGCGTGGAGAAAGTGATGAAGCAGAAGTACTGAACAGAAGTGACAGAAGGGGGGATGGGGTGGGGTGGGGTGGGGGAGGCCCTTGCAGAACGGGGCCGGTCTTACAGCCGTTGCTGGAACACAGAACCTGCCTCTGGACCGGACCCTCCCTCAGCGGCGGCAGCTCCCCACACTGATGCTCCAAGCCAGCCCGGGACTTTCCTGAGGCTGCACGCCTCTCCTCGCACACAGTGAGAACGCCCCCGCCGGTGCCCGGTGTGCAAGACGGCCCGGCACTGCTCACGACGCCCCCAGGGTTGCGCCTGGCTTGCTGAAAGAGCTCTTTGAAGCGGCAGGGGAGAGGAAGGGACGCCCCGGAAGAGGACGGAGCAGGGCCTCCTGCGGCGCGGCCCCCACTGCGGCTGCCTCCGGCTCGCGCCCCTTCCGTCCTGCCCCTTCTGCGCCTGGACAGGGGAGGCTGCCCATCCTCCACCTCTCCCTGCACGCACGCCTCCCAGGACAGCCCCCCACGGGCAGGCGGCCCCCCTGCAGGGAGAATCACGCACCTCGGGCTCCTTCCCCAGCCGAAGGTCTGAGCCCAGGGAGCGAGCAGCTCTAGCCTGGCGGCCCCTCCCCATGCCGGAGACACTGTCACACCGGAAGGGGCAGTGTTTGGAGGGCTCTGAGGCTCGTGGCAGCAGCGGGAGCCTCAGCAGGAACGCTACCCCGGGGAGAGGCAGAGCGGCCCCTAGCCCACCCGCTGTCCGCATGCAGGGCGAGAAGCACCGAAGCCCCCGCTGCAGGCGCTGCAGCTCCACCAGGCACAAGGCTCGGAAAACGCTGGCAACGGCCCTCAGAAAAGCGGCTTGCTTCCGCGGAGACCTCCGGAGCACGGCAGTGTTTGCGGCGGGCAGCCGTGCCCATGCTGGCGCCTCCCGCTGTGCTGGACGCGGCTCCTCTAATTCCCGGCCAGCACGGCTCCAGGAGCTGCTGTCCAGCGGGGCCAGGAGGTTGCGGCGGGCTGGTCTCCTGCAGCCAAAGGACACCTGCCTTTCTGGGGGCTGGCGCACCCGTGGATCGGGGCCCATTCTTGCAGGAAGCTGCTTGGCCTTGTGTGACCCCCTGGCAAAGCCGTTTTTCCACAGCAAGGTGCGCAAGGCACAGGCAAACTGGCCTGCCGAGCGCGGAAGCACACAGCCTTTGACGCAACGCTGAAGCCGCCTGCGGAAGTTCTGGGGCTCTGCGGAGGGAGCCTGGCCCCCAGAGCAGCCATGGCTTTCACGGCATGCAGCGGCGGCCCTGTCCGGCTTAGAGCAGCGAAGGGGCCCGTTTTCCGGGCAGGTCATGCGGGCACAGGAGACCCCCCGAGACCTCATTACCTGATGATGATACACCCACCAGGCGCTAGTGATGACCCGGGCGTCCCAGGCTGCGCTGTAGCACAGAGCCATCGTCCCTGCCTCGGTGAGCGTCCGCGGAGGGATCGGGTCCCCTGGAACAGCAGCACCGGCAGCAAGTTCACATGCGGGCGGCCCACACCCCGAACCCCACACCGCTTGCCGGGGAAGCTCGCTGGAGAGAGTGCGTCCGTTTGCCTCCACAGCCAGCCAGAGGTCTCAGGGAACACCCCCACCCTGGCTCTGACTCCCGGGACGGAAAGATAAGAGCGGGGGGGAGCCATCGCTCATGGGCTCCTCTCCCCAAACATCTTTCCCGGAAAGCAGTACCTGTCGGGTTCTTGACCACGCAGCTGGTTGCTCCGTGAAGATCTGCGTGCACGTAGATGTCCCCTTAGGCAGAGACAGAAGCGACGGCTGTTAGGGGGGGTTTGATTAGGGTCCGCTCGTTTCGATTTCTGTCAGCCACCCTGAGACGCTTGGCATATAGGACAGGAGATAAATAATTTAAATACATAAATGAGAGTGCGGGGAGAAGGCCCCGGCGATCATCTGAGTGAGTGCGGAGGTGCTGCGGATGCTTAAGCAGGAGAACCTCCCCAGTCTGGACCCCCCAGGGTTTGGGCCAAGCGGCGCTGGCGCTGAGGACAGCGTTCCAGGCATTTTTCGACAGCAGCTTCTTGCGGCGGCTTTCCGTGGGTCCTCAGGGCCCCACGAGGGACACACAGCTAGCGGTCCGATCCTCGCACCGAGGTGGCAGCACGAACAGGATGCGGCCAGTAACGCCACACCCGTGCGCGCTCTGTTTCCGTGGACGTGCCGAATCCTCATTTATTTATTTATTAAAACATTTCTATGCCGCCCCTTGCCGAAGCCTCGGGGCGGCTCACAACATTGAATAAAATACACAATAAATTAAAACAATAACAATTAAAATATAGACAGTAGAATAAAATAAGCCGCCCCAGCCAAATAAAATTCAATAATATTAACATTTAAAATGCTGCTTAAATAAAAAGGTCTTCACCTGGCGCCGAAAAACAAATAACGACGGCGCCAGGCGGACCTCTCTGGGACCTTCCCTCCTCGCACTCTGGACAAGCCACGTGATCGCGGCACACTGAGTCAGTCAGAAGCCAAGCGGCGATTCCTCATTTGAGGCGCTTACTGAGCACTAGAGCCACTCACTTAGAACAGAAAACGCGCCCAAATGAGTAATAAAACCGATGTGTGCAGCTCAGCTTTGGTCAGGGCAAATACCAAAGATCGCGCAACGAGCACTAATTAACCTCCACGCAAGCTGCCCGCACAGTCACGGGGATGGAGAGTGGCTCTCCCACCACCAGCTCCCTCTTTTCCGGACAGGTTCAAGGGCAACCTGGGGATTCAAACTGGCATCATGGGGTTGTGCACATTCAGCTCGGTGGATGAACAGAGTCCTGACCACCTGTGCCTGAACAGAGAGCCAGACTCACCTGGCCTCAGGTATCTCTTGACAATCATTTCGTTTTGCTGTTGGTCTCGCCCAGCTATCACGAGGTAGTTCTCCGAACTGAGGAACCACAGGAATTTCTCAAACCTGCCAGAGGACATCGAGCCAGACCAAAAAGCATCGGTACAAAGAGAAAGGATGCTCATGCCACCCCGCCACCCGCGAATCTCGCAGCTCCCTTGGATTAGGTCAGTGATGGTAAACCTTTTAGAGACCGCGTGCCCAAACTGCAACCCCAAACCCACTTATTTATTGCCAAGCGCCAACACTGTAAGAAAACCTGAAAACGAAGGCTTTAGTTTAGAAAAAAACAACTCACAGCCAGTCCAAGCAAATCTATCTATCTAGCCATCGATCCATCCATCCTTGGCAGCGCACCGACTGGCCATGCGAAAGCTTGGATGAGTCGCAGCTAATGAGTCACGGTTCGTGACGTCATCGCCTGGCGCTGCTACTCCTTTCTGAGCATGCGCATGGCCCCTGTGTGGGCTGTTATCCGATGCTCGGCTGCTGGGGCAATGCTGGGGCGACTGGGCTTGCGTGCCGACAGAGAGGGCTCTGTGCCACGCGTGCCACGGTTTCGCCATCACTGGATTAGGTGCACGAGGGGGCAGGTACTGCTCTTTTCATGGCATGTGGCCCACAAAGACTCCGGCAAGCAGTGACTGTCGCACTTTGGACGGGTTGGGAAGCGAGCTGCAGCTCACACCTCGCCGGCATAGCCAGTGAGGAATGATGGGATTTGTAGTCCAGCAAAGGCCACCCACTCCCCATCCTTTACCTCTCTGCAGTGAGCTCTGCCCTGTGGAGCTTAGGAGTCACTGCGAACCCACTGGGGCTTCTGCAAAACTGACTGCAGGCCTATCAAAATGGGGACCGGTCCCCACAGCCTCTGGAATGACCATGTCCCACTTAGAGAGAAGCGGGACTTTGGAAGGGCCAGGATATCGCCCACCTGAGCACCCCGGAACTGTCTCAAGCATTCTCAAGCAGGCGATCGTGTTTTGACATAGACCACTCAGACCTAGACAATCGCTTTGGTTTTGCAGGAACACGGCTGAGTGAGAACAGCCTTCCCCGTAACTGGGGCTCTTCAGACTTGCTGGCGTACACCATTTCCAGCGCACTGGGGGCAGTGCTGCAGCCCTTCTGGAAGGTCCCTGGTTGGAGGAGGAGGATTTGAAATAAGGCAGAGAAGCCGGGCTCGCCCCAGGGAAGGCCGGGAGAGACTGCGGCAGTGCCTGTTTGATCCAGCTCCGCAAACAAGCTGCACACGTCCTGGAACTGTGCCAAGCCAGATTGGGCTGGGGGGGGGGACACTCTTTCCAATGAACACTTCATGCTTGCTGGGGCCGCATCAGCCCTCCCCGGCTATCCTCCTCCACCAAAGACCGGGGGTCCCCGCATAAAACACCCTAACATTTCACTCTTAGGCCCTGAACTCAACTCTTGCCTCTTTTCAATTTTGCCCAACCAAGAAAAAAGACCTCGGGCGCTTCCAACAGCCACGTATTTGGGCCCAGGTCCAGCCGCTCACCAGTAAACCTTTCTAGCCTTCTGAATGGTGCTGACAGTTTGAACTTCTTTCAGCGTCTGCTTGGTCTTCTTTTCTGCCGATTTAAAGGCCTGTTCAATGGACAAATCAAAGACAATCACACGCGAAGGCTCAAGGTCACACCTCCTTCTTGCTGAGGCAGCACCGCTGGGCATGCGAAGTGAGGACTCTTCCTGCCGCTGCTCCAGGGACTGCTCCTCCGATCCCACACATCCGTTACGGGCTCTGAATACGAACGGATTCGTGGCACTCCCGTCCTCGCCGAGCGTGCACATTTCTCAGCCCCCCATGCGCACCACCCCCATGCGCGCACGAGGCCTTCTGGCACTCCCGGTTTTGCCATCTTGCTCTCACCCCGCCCCGTCAGAAACTGGAGCTCTGGCTTCACGGTGGCAGACAAGGCTGCCCCCACGGCCTTTGGACAATGCCTAGTTCTTGGCTTTGGCTCATCCGACGGCAAGCATTTATACGGTTAATGCGGTTCATTTAAACTCTGCTATGTTTTGAAGAGGACTAGAAAGAATGGCCTCATGCTCCAGGGTGGCCACAATGACAAGAAACTAAAGAAAGAGATTTTTTAAGTTGATGTTTTCACAGGAAAGCAAAGAACCTGTTCGTATACCTTCTCTGCAGCTTCCACAGTTTTCTGGGTCTTTCGGGCAGCGTGTCTCTTGTGGTCATAATATCTGGAAAAGAAGCAGCCACATCACGGCTCCAGCCCAGCTCGTTCTCATTACTAGCAGAGCAAGCACCGCCTCCTCCTCCATTTGTGCCCTCAAATGCCGCCCTCCAGGGCAAGGCTTTCCAAGGATGCTTACAGGCGATCACAACCACGCGCCTCAGGCACGAAGGGGGATAAAGGCCCCGGCCAGGAACTCACAGCACAAGCCACCAGCCGCGAGACTCCGCTGCAGCTGGGCAGGAGGACGAAGGCCCTGCGCCAGCGCGCTGCCGACGAGCGGGAGGGAACCGCTGCGGCGCCCTTCCTCCTGCACCGCCAGGGACCCTCGGGAGCCCAGGACTGCTGAGGAGCAGCCCGCGCTGGAGCTGCTCCTTGCGGCATCTCCAAAAGCCGGGGGGAAGCGCCTGTGAGAGGGGGCGGCGTGCCTCCCGCCTGGGCCCATAGCAGGGGGGAGGGGGGTGTGCTGCAGTGGCGATGCCATGTAAGCCGTCCGGCCGTGGCCTCCCAAGCCTCTGCAGCGCAATCAGAAGGGGTCCTGCAGAGGATGAACGGGACTGGATCCCTCGGACAGGAACTCGTGGATGAGGTGACAGGAGAGGGGGGCCCAGCAGCGGCACAGGCCCCCCCGCGCCGCCTCCAAAGGCACCCGCCAAACGGCCGGGTTTCTCACTTTTTGGCATTTGCATACGCAGACAAGCCAAGATCCACATCCACCAGCAGGGGCTTGTTCTTCTGGGGCTTCTTGAGTTGTTTGGCTTTCTTCTTCTTCTTCCCCTTCGGCTCTTCGGCCTCTTCCTCTTCCCCTGCCTCCTCTTCCTCCTCCTCCTCTGAAAGTATGTACGGGTTTCTAGCCAAGCAAAAAAACCCCAAGAGGTTAGGTGTATAAACAAAGGCTCTGGGGTGAGAAAAACTTCCCTTAAACTGTTGGCACACTGCCAGCTCCGTGGGAGCTGTTTGAACCATTCGGAGGAAGAGTTTTGCTCCATTTTCTTGTAGTGTGTGCTCACACCAAAGCAGCAGTGAGAGTCCACACTGAATTATGTGTCTACAAAAAAACCCACACACAACTGCACCCAGCTTACCCACCCCACAAAATCGGGGTTCCTCTGAAGGAAAACTCTTGTGATTGAGGGGCGCGTGCTCCGGCACAGCAGGCTGAGGGATGCCCTTCTCAGAGACAGGCGCTTGGCTCCCCTGGTTCCTTTGCCTGGGAACCCCTGCCGCGCCGGTTCAGGACCCTGAGCCACAGACTGCCTGCCCAGCACCGGCTGGGGCCCGTTTCTCGCCCGCTTCCCCGGCTGGCAGTGGGCTCACCGCAGGAGCATCGTGATGTGGTTGGTCTGCAGCTTCAGCTCCTTGATGGCGCTCGCCACAGGGTCCCCCTGGGCCTGGGCCTCCTTGACAATGGCTCTGATTTCCGTCCAGTCGATCTGGTTGGCCAAGGCACTCCGGACAACCTGGATGGCTTGGTCGACTATCTCAAGGTTCATTTCCACGAGCTCGCCTTTCACCTTGTCGATTTCCTTTGCAAAAAGGAGGAGACATGACAGCACGTCTTAATTATCATTTTGCAGCTGAGCACAGCATCCTAGTTGTTTGTTTAGTCGCAAAGTCCAGCCCGACCCATCGCCCCCCACGGACAACGTTCCCCCAGGCTCTCCTGCCCCCCACCGTCCCTCAGAGTCCCCCCAAGCCTACACGCACTGCCCCAGCGACTCCATCCAGCCACCTTGTCCTCGGCCAGCAACCTCCTGTATTCACCACAATTCTGTGGGGCGAGGTGGATGGACAGACGAACAAAGTGGCTTGTCTGTGACCCAGTGCCCTCCGAGCTGGACACGGGGTTGAACCTCAGATTCCCCAGTGCCAGGACAAACACTCTGCCTCTCTGCACCCCACTGGTCTTTTGTACCAATTCCGGCAAAGAGAACACAGCAAAAGTTTTCAGCTTCCCAAATCATACCACAAGCACATCTCAGCAGGGCCCCGGGCATTTCCTCTGCACCCAGAAGCACTGCTGAGATGTGCTTGTGGTATGATTTGGGTTGCTTGGTCCTGCGGCGGTCCCGCTCCGACCAGCCATGGCTCCTAGCAGAAAGGGGTTTCCCGGCCTGGCTATCCGAGGACCCTTTAACTGAGACAGAGAAGACTGAATCTGAGACCATCAGCACAGGAAGCGTATGCATTACCACGATTGATTCTTTCCCGTGCGAGCTTCACATCTTTAGCCTTTGTGCCATGATTTCTATTTTTTTAATAAATTTTATTAAAATTCTAAACTAACACTAAAAACATCAATCATCAAATACATCAGACATACTGGGTCAGCCCCCTACTCATTTTTTTAAAGCATTCCTTAGCCATATTCAAATCCATTTATGATAACTTAAAAACATATTTAAATCTAAGCCAAGTCCAAAAAACATGCTTAAGTCTATGCAAAGTCCCATTTCTCTAGCCAATCATAAAAGAAAAAATTTCCAAATTTGATAGAAGTCAGTATCTTCTTTCTCCTTCACTGGTAAATTCAGTCTGACCATTTCTGGACAATCCAGGATCTTTTAATCAATTCAACAATGGGTAATTCTTCATTTTCCAGTATTAAGCAAATAAACTACTCACCGCAATAATTACAAGTAAAATCAGATACATTTCTTATTTACTAATGTTCTAGTATAATGTCTAATAAAAAAGAAAGTTCAGGTTTAAGAAACCAAGGATTTTTGTACCATTTCCTCTACCCTGTATAATAAAAATACCCAATTTATGTTTACAGATCCAACATCCATTTAACATCTTTAAAAACATCTTGGCTAATCTATTGGCTAAATCTATTTGGTGACAGTTACCACCTATAACACATTTTATACAAGCTTTCTTTATACGAGGTTGCTAATATTTCATCTAGTTTAAGCATCACTTAGTCAAATACTATTAACTCCTTATAAAAGCCCCACACTTTACAATCTTTAACATATCTCAATTGTATCTACACCTTATGTCACCAAAAAATATCAACTCCCTGTTTTTATAGCTCAATTTCAATTCTCCATCTTTATCCAAAATGTAAATCATGTCTTACAATCCCTTCAAAAATTCAATGAATTTAGATACAGAAAAGCTTCCACGGATGGAAAACCCATCTTAGTATAACTTTTCCTACACCAACATTAATGATTTTCTAGTATGGTAACTTTAAAAAAAGAATCATGCAACTTAGCCTTCTCATACCACACTTTGTGCCATGATTTCTGCCTGTCTTTGTTTGGAACTGAAATTCTCAGGACAAAAGGATTGTGCCATAAACCTGGACTTCATTTCTGCTCAGGACTCAACCGGGGAATGCTCAGTGCTCCTACCTGAGCTTGATGAAGAGCTTCGAGTCTGTGCTCATGGTCCTTCCGAACATTTTCCAGCTTCTTCAGCGCTTGCTTTTCCTTTTGGGACACAAAGCGAGGAAAGGTTCAGGCCGAGATGAGCCAGCCACGGCAAGCAAGAGCCATTCCCTGCTTGCGCACTCCAGCGAGCAGGTGGTGAGGGAGCTCCTCTGGCCTACTCGAGCCAGGGGGTTCCACCACTGCCCCTGCTCTGGACACCGCTGGGATCACCGCTGAACTGCATGGCTTCGAGAGCAGCTGCAGGCTTGAGTTCCAGCACGACACAAGGGCCGAGCCCACACAGAGCCCCAGACAACTCCAGCAAAGGACGGAAAGGCTTCCCGCATAGTTTGGAAGGGGCCTCGAATGCACACGGAGGTTGCCTCCCTTCCCATAATCAAATGGGACACAGCTCTGGTTCGGAGTTGCTGAACTGAAATAGCGCTGCAATTCTCCAGGCTGGCCATGCGGCCCTCTAGGGGGGCACGTGGAAGTCGTGTCAAATGCTAACTCTTTTCATGAGATGAGTACCTGTTGCAATGCCTTCAAGTCTATCTTCTGACCTTCCAGCTTAGAGTAAAATTCGTCCACTGCCTTCAAAAGAGTAAAATGCATATTGATATATAATCAGGAATCAATTTTTAATTGCTCAACATAACCGAAAAACAGGTTTGGAGCATAACCAATGACATCCATCATGCTTCTTCCATTAGATTGGTTCAAACTCTTAAACTGAAAAATTGCAAAACAAAATAAATGGTGAATTCACAATTCACACTAGCCAAAGAACTTTTTGTGCCAAAGCTCCTATTCTGATGATTTCTGATCCTCAGGCCTGCTGCAAAATTCAACCGCCTTCAAAATCACCAATCCAGACAAACACCAGCCTTCCTCAATATCATTAACTCCAACTCCCAAACTCCATTCTCACACACGCAAATCTACATTCAGAGCCTTATTCATTTGCAATTAATTACCCCCCAACAAACCCTACCCTGCCCCTGCAATGAAAAAATTATGGCCCACTGATAAATATGAAGCATAATGTTGTACCTTGTTGAAAGATTCAAACTCCACATACGGACATTTTGCATGTTGTGAAAACAAGAAAGGGTGAAACTCCTCGTATCTGCAAGAGACACACCGGATCATGTCACCAGCGGACTGGCAGCACAGCCAGCGGCGGTCCCCACACCGTGCCCCCATCAAGATACAGAGCCAGGGTGGTGTGGTGGTGAAGAGCATGGGACTGGGACTCAGACGATCTGGGTTCGAGTCCCTGCTCAGCCATGGAGCCAACTGGGTGACTTTGGGCCAGTCACAGACTCTCAGCCCGACCCAGCTCACAGGGTTGTTGTTGTGGGGATACGATGGAGGAGGAGATGTAAGCTGCCTTGAGCCCTTTGTGGGAAAAAGGCAGGATATAAATCGATATATAAAGAAATAAAATAAATACACACGTGAGGATTTCTTCGCCAGGTTTGTTTGGTTCCAGACTTGGCTTTCGCTCTCTTTTCTGGATAATATAGCCCTACAGGAGGGGGGGGGGAGAGAAAGCCCTGAATGTTTCTTCTAGTTCCTATTCTTGGAACTGTGAAGGGGGAGCTGAGGTGGTGAGCTCAAAGTACGGTTACCGCTATGGGAGGAAAAGACCAAACAAAGCAAACGGAGAAGCTGGGAAGAGCAACTGACAACCAGAACTTCATTGTGTGCCTTTTCTCCAAAGGGTGGTGCCACCACCGGGAAGACCCTTCCCCTAGGCCAGGGGTCGGCAACCTTTGACACTCAGAGAGCCATTTGGACCCGTTTCCCACAGAAAAGAAAACACTGGGAGCCGCAGGACCCTTTTGACATCTAAAATGAAATGCAAATGTCGTTTTCTACCTGAATGCTGTGTATCTCTTCATTATTTAGCTGCAGCTCTTGTTCAGTCACTAAAAACGGTTATTTTTAATCTTACATTATAAACTAGTAGGACTCCTTTCATATATTTTGAATAGGAGAACAGCTTCATGAAGAGTCAAAGTCAGTGCTAAAGGACTGCGTGCATTAAACAGCAAACCCCATAAGTTCGAAAGCAGTAAAAGCAAATGAATCTGCCCATGTACCATTAAACGTTCAGTTTTCTTCAGAAACTTTTCTTTTCTTCAATTTATCCATGCTTGGCCTGGGGGGAGGGGGTGCTCAGTAAATCGGCCTAGGTCTGCAGATCAGCTGGAGATATAGGTGTGTTTAGTGGCTGATTAGCAGATAAATGATGTGAGCCGCCCTGAGGCTTCGGCGAATGGGGCGGCATAAAAATGTTTAATAAATAAATAAAATAAATAAATAAATAGTCAAGTGCTGTGAATTGTGACAGGTCCCAAGCGCAGCTTTTGACATTCAGAGGAAGGAGATTACATTGGGACAAAGAGAATCCTTTCAGCAGTGTTTCATGCAACATGAGAGCCTGCAGGAAGCTTGTTTAGCAGAGGAAGGTAGCGATTTACTTAACTAGCTGATTTACTTAACTAGCTAGCGCTGTGTTGCTGTGTTCCTGAGTGGAGCTTCAAGTGACGGAGCCGGAGCCGCGGCAGAGGGGTTCAAGAGCAGCGTGTGGCTCCAGAGCTGCGGTTGCCGACCCCTGCCCTAGAGCCATCCCCCACTCTGTCACCTCGCCCTGCCTTGAGCTCAGCCCCCTTCCCCTTTCCCTGAGGCAGCACCTTCAGCTTTGCAAGGCCAAGACTACTCTTCCCCCTCAGAGACTCGCTATGCCAAAATCTGAAGAGATGCTAGTCAGAAAAGCAGTCACCAAATTATGAGCTACCTTGCCATTGAAGTTGTCTGTTAGTTCCATATAGTCTTCTGCTTTTTGTAAAGCCACGAGCACCTTTTCAATATCTAAATGGAGAGAAAGAGAAGGGGCTTTTTTACAGCCAAGGTTTCTGAGATGGCAGGCTCCCGCTGTGCCACAGCGCATCCTCTTCAGGCCGCATCTGGCCAGCGCGAGCCTCACTTAGGATGCCTCTTGCGCTGAATCAGGCCCTTGCACCACCCAGCCCAGCATTACTGGCACTGACTGGCAGCGGCTCTCCGGAGTGGCAGGCAGGAATATTTCTCAGCCTGCTCTCGAGATACCACAGACTGTACGCAGGACTTTTGGCATGAAAACCATGTGGTCAGAGCCCGTGTTGGGCAAGGGGGCTTAGAAGACCAGGAAGGAAAGACACCGCACCAATTTCATGTTCAAGGGTTTGAGCTCCTACCTTTGCTTTCCATTTGCTCAATCTTGGCATTACTCAGAAATCCCGTTTCTACCAAGCAGTGCTCAATCAGAGTAGCTCCATAAGCTGCATTGAAAACAAAAGTGGGGTGAGAGGGGAAGAGGTCTGCTTACAAGACAAGTAAAACAGCCTGAGGGCAAAAGGTTTTAAGCTGGGCCCCACAGCAGAGACGATTTATTTATTTGATTTATATCCCACTTTTTTCTTGCAAAATATAGAGGATGAAGAAAATGGACTCTCCTCCTCCCCAGCCTCAAACATCACAGGCCCTTCTGTGGCAAAGTTTTCTGTATCTCAAGGTGAGCATGGGATTAGATCTCACTGGAGCAATTCTCTGTGAGCGGCACAGCCTCTCTCTTACCAAGAAAGCTCTCCCTGTCCTTTTCTCCCCACTATTATACAAGGTGTGTGCAAACTTTAAAAACAGCAGCAACATCACCGGGCTGCACCCAGATTCAGGAACGAAGCCTCTAAACTTTTTCACACCCTCCTGCCCCACAACGGCATCCTGCCAAACCGGATATGCTGTGGGGCGGAATCCCTGAAAAGGGGCAGAGATGCAATCCCTGAGTGGAAGGTGCCTCTACTAGACTTTGCAGGGTCTCCTTAAGGCCAGCGCTAGGGATGGAGGGAGACCAGAGATGCTCCCATGCGGTGGCTAGGGCAGGGAAGCCTGCTTCCACCAGCCCTGATGCAGGAGCTGGCTGGCTTCATATAACCCAAATGGTACTTACGAAGGTGGGGGTTTAGGACTCTCTTTATCTGCTCCTCTTTAGGTGCGGCGGTGATTATTTCTGTCAACCTAGGACGAGCAGGAGCAAAGATCAGCGCGAGGGAAGACAGGCAAGGGGGGCACATCCATCCCTGTTCTGTTCAGGGGGGTTGGCTGTGCCAAATGCCCCAGGTCTTATGGCAGACTCAGCGTGAGGCCGGGGGGTGTCAGAGCGGAAGGGAGCCCGCTCACCCCCTGCATCTAATCAAGTCCGTTCTGGCTCACAAAAGCTTGTGCCACTTGCCAGACCTGAAGGGGGTGCAAACTTTCCTGCGGTGGCCACACCAGACTAACCCAGATCCCCACCCAGAACCTGCTTGCTCGGGGGTTTTTATCTCCCGGATTTCATGCAGCCAATGGAGGCTGCAGCCCAGAACAAGGACGGGAGGGTTCCCAAGAGGCAGCTGGTCTGGTCTGGTCCATTTCACTCCTAATGCAAGCTAAGAGCCACCCAGGCCGAGTGCTTGGGGCCCTGCGGAAAAGGGCAGGGAATTCCACACTGCCAGCTTTCAAGGCTTGTTTCCTTCCCAAAGGAAGGTCCCACAGATAAAGGATTGAGCCTCTTGCGATCTTCTACTGTGAAGCTTCAAAACACTGCTTCACAACTGCTCCGAAGTGTGGATGATTACAGGCGCTATTCAAACACCAACACACAACCCCCCGTTACAGCAGTGACATTTGGGGGGGGGGGGCAGGACCAGCATCTCTAGAGTACAGACTGAAATGCAAGGAAAACCAAAGCAATGCAGGCAGACAAGGACGACCCCCGCAAGGCAGCCCCACGCTGTTCTCTGCACTGCGCTCTGGGGGTGCTTGTGCCACAGTCCCAGGGCTGCGCAAAACACAGCGGCACCTTTCTGAGGTGGGCAACGGCGATGCCGGCTTGGCGTTATCGACCGGGTAGTGCTCCCGCACCGCAAACTTGACATCATCCGCTTCATCCGTGCGAAACCTCAGGATGTTCAGGATCAGGTACTCGTGGTCAGTAAGGACGATGTTGCCCTGCAACACACCCAAACACGTCGTCACCCGGGGCGGCCCTGAAGCACTCGCCTTGATCTGCATTCTCTCCCACTCCCCCGACTGAGGTATGCCTAAACCAGAAAGGCGGCAGGGCAGCTTGAGCACAAGCAGCCCACCTGGTGCAGCCCCAAAGAATCCCCAGAGACCCCCTAGCGAGGAGGGGGTGCTGCCGTGGGCTGTTGCGGGAAGCACAAGGCGAGGTGAGCAGAGAGATCCTGCCCCCAGACTGCTGGAGGGGAATCACAGAACCCTCAGGAGCGGCACACGGAAATTCCAGGCCGGGTCTTCCCCACCCCACCTGCATGGAGACCCTGCTGGGAGGCTGGGAGGGGAAAGAGGCAGGAGGGCCCCCTCCAGACACCCCCAGCCCTTCCCCCCTCCACTTACCCTGTCATAGAGCTCTATTATGAGGTGATACGCCGCTTCCTCACTTCCAAACTGGAAGTCCACTATTCTGTCAACGCCGAGTTGCTTCACGCTCACCAGCCGCCTGGTCTTTAAATGCTTGCGGCACTGTCGGCGGGGAAAGCACAGGGGAGCGTGAAGCGGGCGGCTGGCCGAGCCACATGCAACCAGCGACAGCGGCACGGCCGGGCGTGCCCCAGCTCACCAGCAGTGGGAGAGCGCGCCCCATTCTGTGCTCTGCGGCACGAATTACCTTCATGGCAAAGCCCGACGGCATCATGTTCTTGGGCCACTCGAACTCTGTCATGTGGATCCTAATGCCAGATTCCAGAAGAAGCGTGGCCTTGACGTCTGGCCTTAATAGCAAGAGAAAATATTGGGGGGGTTCAGGTCTTTATTCCCAGGTCCTTCCTCATTTTTTCCATCAAAGCTCCAGAAGCAAAATGTGGATTTACCACACCTGTACCTGTCTACCTATGCACTCTCCCATCAGCTTTTTAATTTTTGCTAAATTAAATGCTGAATTTGCACAACCCATGTGCTTCAATATATATTTAGCCAGCTTCCTACGGGGAGAGGCATGAGGCAGGGCTTCAAATGTGGCCGGGATGCAGAAACATCTTCCAGGAGAAGTCAGCAAACAACAACATCAAGGAGTCAGTGGTGTTGTTTAGACTATACTTCCACAATCTCATCTCTACCTCTGTCCAGCAAAGATCAAAAGTGAGCCCTGTGACAGAGTTCAGGACAGAGCGTAGACTCTGCTTTTTCCTTGCCCTGCCAGTTTTCTGCACAAGCTGGGTGCATCCTTTTGCAATTCACAAGAAAAGGCTGCTGGACAAGCAGCGCTCCTTGACACACACTGGTGCCAGCCTCCAAGCAGTTAGTGAACTATTACTAACTTTGCCAAGGTAGAAGACATTTTCCATTTAAGACATCAATACCTATCCAAACACTATAATGTTTGGGAACCCAAAAGCAGCCCTAAAAGTTACATCTGTTCTTGATGATACTTGGAAAAATAAGGCAGGATCAGTGCTTTCCTCTCAATCATTCATTGATGGGATCATAATGTATTATGGGTTTGTATTATGGGTACTAAGGAGAGGAGAGGGTATAACCATTAGCCGTTTCATGGAAAAGTCAGGAAGAAAGCAAAGGGGAAAGCATGCCCCAAATCCAAATTACATTGACTCAGGCACAGAGTTTTATGCGCACATAGATTGGACAGAGCAAAGTATTCAAAAACAGGTATCTCACCTGCGCTCTTTGCAGGAAAACCTGCAGAGCTTCACACTTGGTTAGAACAGGAATAGTGCCAGATTCAGCCATTAAGGGAGAGCGATTCTGGTTTTTTCCCCAGAAAGATCCTGACTTAAGTTTGACCAAGCTTTTAACTGCTAGGACTAAGCAGGTATGTGTTCCTTTCCTTCTCATACATGATATTCTATGTTTAGTTGGCTATTTTATGTTTTCTTGGACTAAGCTGAATATCACATGCATACACACATGCTTCAAAGTCAGAAACTTCAGATACAGGAAGCAAGGAAGATTGTGCTCTTACTTCTGAAGGCGGATGAGATATGTCTTATTATCTACATCATAAACGTTGTTTACCCTCATTCCCAGCAAGCTGTAAAAAATAAAAAGACTTGCATTTTATTATCTTATCTATACAAGAAGGTAATTAGCAAAAACATACAGACATCACTCTGATCCAGAATACTGAATCAAGCCGTTTTAAACAAAGGGTTTTCAATTGCTTAGCAGTTAAATGGTTGAGCCAGGCAGAGAAACCTGTTCTCATTGGGAAGAAGGGATCTAAAGCAGGACTGTATAAGGCAAGACAAAGGGAAAAAATCAACCAAAGCTAATACATTCATTGTGGTTTAAATTTATCTGGAGCATCAGAACCACAAGTAAAGGCCTATGCATGAGGAAGCGGGATGTGGGAATGGTTTTGGACAGAAACAAAGTCTGCATGCCTAAGATTGTGCCTGAAACTGGCAGCTGTACGCACACATCAAAATCAGTGAGAGACAGAGCGAAAGAGCAATGTTGTGATAACAGAGCAAATACTTTCAGATCTAAAATTGAGTGCTGCTACATAACTGCAGCCAACTATGGGAATGATAAAGGAAGCCCCATCCTTGAGTCTGCAAAGGCTGAGCAGAGCTGCCAAGGATAAGTATCTTGGAGGGCTTTCATTCAAGGTTACCATAAGTCAGAGATGACTCGATGCATGTAACAGCAGCAGACACGAGTGTCCTGTGATCTACCATCTGTGTTATCAATGGTGTTTTCTTTACTTATTGCAGCTGGGCATAGCAGCTCCAAAACTAAAAAGTGTGAGAAATGGCAAGTGCATGCCAGTCCTATCCACAGCACTCATAAACTCAGGATCCCACCTGAGCTGGGAAGCCCACCCTCCACAGCCCCTCTGGCCAGTCAGCCAGCAGCCATGAGACCTCACTCTGCAAACAGGAAGGTATGGATTGGGTGGGCAGCTTATGGCAGGTCACATCTTTTATTCATCTGTTATTACATTTCTAAGAACGCAAAGAGAGCCCTGCTGGACTGGAGCACGGCTCCATTCGGTCCAGCATTCTGCTCACGCAGTGGCCAGCCACTGCCCATGTTCCCCAGCAACTGGCATACACGGTCGTGCTATCTTTGATACCGGAGGCAGCACACAGCCAGCAAGCCTAGGCACTAATCCCCTTTTAAAGCTCCCCAAAGCCATCGCTGAGAAAGCAAGCTCCGAAATCCAGCCGGGCAGGGTGCGAAGCCCCTCTCTGCAGCTGTCCCGACTCTCCCATGGGATGGCGCTCTTGGGATCCACTGTTACGAGAGCGGGAGGAAAACGCCTCCCTCGCCGCTTCTCCAGACCAGGCAGACTGCGTTCATCGCCACCGTGCCGCACTTTTTCAGGGGAAACCGCCCCCGAACCGGGCACCGACCCGCGTAGCGAAGCTGCTCCAGTCCCAAGACCCTTTCCGGAGCCGCCTGCCGAGTCCTTGGCCACCCCGCCGTATCCTCTTTCGGGTGCGGGGACCAGAACACACCGCGATCCTCTGCCCGCCTTGCTCCCATCGGCGGCTCACCGGGTCCTCCTCACAACAACCCTGCGAGGTAGGCCAGGGACGGGCGGAAAGCCACCCAGAGCGCTCACGAAAGAGGCGGCCTCTCATGGTCGCGGCCCGATCCCCCATGCTGGCTGGGGCTGATGGGAGGCAGAGTACAGACCATACGGAGGGCCGCACGTTGCCCACCCCTACCCCTACGGAGGGCCTCAGTGGGCGGGCCCACCTCTGACGCAGCTCGGCTATCACCGCCCGGATATCGACCGTGTTGAAGCGGTTCTTCATGGCGGGAAAGGGCGACGTCGAGGCCGGAGCGAGTCTGCCCGTGGCGCTTCCCCAGCCCCTCTCCCTGACAGGCTTCCGCGCGCGCGCATGCGCGTCCCCGCCCACAGGAACTACGGCGCAGCACCGGGGCCAAAACTCTTCCGCTGAGCGTCGGCGAAAGACCCGAGAGCCAATTAGACGTTTCGGGGGCGGGACCACATTTTCGATCCCGCGGCCCTGCCGGCTGCAGCCGCTCCCCATCGCCCTCTGTCGGAGAATGTGAAAATGGCAGGCGCTAACCTCGGCTTTCCCCAACCTGGCGCCCGCCAATGTGTTGGCCTGCACATCTTCTAGCTGCCTGGTTATGGAGGTGGGGAAAGACTGCTTTGACAAGTGAGGCACATAATCAGAAGAGGTTTTTTTTTAAGAACTGCAAAAAGGGGATGACCAAATCCATTGACTGTACTGTTCTGTGTCCTGAACTAAATGTAAACAACTCGGGGCTAAAATGTAAGAGTTAGGAAAAAGCACTTTTCACATGTTCAGAGGTGCTTTCGGACAGTACAAGATGACAAAAACCTCGAGTTCGAAGGAACTGGGTCTCAGTGTTCTGCCCAAGCTACACTGCAGAACACCTTGCACTTGAATATGCGACACTCCTCTACATTCCAGTTCAGACCAGAGGTGCCATCTGGAGCACTAGGGACTCTGAACCCATGCGGAGTGCTCCCTAAAGAGGCAAAAACCGTTTGCTTTATCCCCAGCCCACATTCAGACATTCATCCTTTTTTTGCAATAGCTCAGCTGGTCCGAACTGGTTACTCCAGGGGTTCCTTTCCACAGCTTACTCTTTCCAAGTAATTTCTGATTGGAAGTGATAACTGGAGAGGGATTTGGAAGCATCATGATTCTGAACTGGGACCAGAGAGGGCGGCACCGATACGCCTTTCCCTGTGGCATTAACAAGTTCCTTGATGTCAATGAGGGCATGATTGTCATCCCTGTCCCAGAGGTCCCCCCTTGAACTAAGAACTCTGCCGGTAGAAGCAGTTCTCCCAGAATTAGCCCTGCGGAATATATGAAGGCTGTCATGTACATGGATGGCCGCTGGCAGATGTTCCTCGAGGTAAACACATCTGGCGCCTGAGATTCTGCAGAGAAAAAAGCAATGAAGCTCCTGAGCGTATACACAGACGTTTCCCCCACTGCCTGCTCTGATGCATCTTGGATCGCACCGAAGGGCTTCATAGCAGAGGATTCAGCTCCCGCGTTTGCCGCAACCAAGCGCTTTTGGTGCGTGTGACTAAGAATGCTTTGCACGGACTGTCCTTCCCATGGTTCCTGTGGCTCAGGACAAAATTCCACCTCTGTTTTTATCATGACAGCTGCAAGGCACTCTGGACATGTTCAGAGGTCCTCATTCCATAATGAAGTCACAGGTGCCAGGGCCCGGAGTCCAAGTTTGGGTGTTAGCCCCGCGTGGGGGACCAATGGGAGTCAAAAGAAAATCCTTGTTTGCTTTGTCTTGCCACCAACAGAGACTTCTCGCTGCGTCTGAAAGCCATTAAAGCAGGCACAAGGGACCCATTACTATGCCGGACTTCATTTCCATGCTCTTTAGCCCGTGGCCGTGTTGCCTGCGGCTGGTGGGAGTTCGAGTCCGGCGTCCGCTTGGCGGGCCACCCATCCTCCATCGCTGCCAGGTCCCCCAGACCGCATCCCGGGTGCCCGGCGTCCTCGCCAGAGGCCCCAGTGGCTCCCACCCGCGGGTGTCAAAAGGAGGCCGGGTCTCTCTGTCTCGCCCAGGCTGGGCTGCGGGGCTGCTCGCAGGCGCGGTCCCGCCACCGATCAGCAGGGGAGCTTTGGCCTGCTCCGTCTCCGACCTGGGCCGGTTCGCCCCTCCCTAGGCAACCTGGGGGCCCCGGTTCCCCAGGGACCACCATATTGATGCTGACCTTGGCCGGGACGCCTGCTCGGCACAGCCCGCGGCAGCCTCGAACTCCCGGGCTCAAGGGATCCTCCGGCCTCTGCCTCCCAGGGAGCTGGGATTACAGGCACGCGCCACCGCGCCCGGCGGCTCGCTTCCTCCCGAGACCGGCCCTTAGCCTCGGTTTGCTCATCAGCCAGAAGCTGGCAGCAAAGAGCCGGCGCTCAAACGATATGCCCAGATGCGTCCTTGAGACGTGATGGGTAATGCGTTTGTTAAACATTTGTATCTTGTCATTTATCCTGTGTGTCTCCCAGCCCAGCCCAGCTGTTCTGCCCATGTCTGCAGTGATGCTTCACACAACACCCAGGTCTGTTCCATGTTGCAACAGCTAGGGCAAACATCTATGAACATCAGGACAGGGGAAAACTTCCCACTACTTCACAGCATTCCCCACCTGGCCCCACAAGTCCCAGCAGGGTTGGCTGGGGGATGCCCAGAGTTGCTGGACCTTGTTCTCTAGCCTTGCAAAGGATAAAACCCTGGCGTGGGATTAAATCGTTGCAGCCCTGCATGCAAAGGACCCACGATGTCGGGGTTGGGGAGAAAGCCAGCACCCGTGCCAGCGGGTTCGTGTCATTTGCAAGCAATCGAGAAGAGAAATCGGCTGTGCTTCATGGCAATAAACAGTAATAAGTGGGGTGGGAGTCAGCTCTACTTGAGGCTACCCTTGAAGACGGTCCAGATACTTCAGTTGGTCCAGAATGGAGCTGCCAGGATGTTAATGGGGACCAGCAGGTACTCACATATAATGCCGGTCCTCTATCGGTTACACAGGCTGCCAATTGAAGTCTGGGCCCAATTCAAGGTGCTGGTGCTGAGCTATAAAGCCCTAAACAGCTTAGGGCCTGGATATCTGAAGGAGTGCCTTCTTCCCCATGTGCCTTCCTGCCACTTAAGATCTGATGCAGAGGCCCTTCTCCAGGAGCCCTCATTGAAGGAGATTAGGAGGGGTGGCTGCCTGGAGAAGGGCCTTCTCAGTGGTGGCGCCCCGGCTATGGAATGCGCCCCCCAGAGAGGTTTGCCTGGCGCTGACTCTTTTCAGCACCAGGCTAAAACCTTTTTATTCACCCATTATTTTAATTCTGATTTGGTTTTAATATGGATTTTATTTATTGGATGCTATATTTCATTTTATTCTGTGTTGATTGTAAGACTATCCCAAGACTGTGGTAGCTGGACCATACAACAAAAGCTTTAAATAAATAAAAAAAAATTAAAATAAATTAAAATAAATTAAAATAAAATAAAATAAAAAACTAACCTCCAACAGTCAAACACTTCCTACACTCCCCAGTCACAGGTCAAAGCAACCTGTAGCAGAAAAAATGTTTATTATATTTGAATTGGTTTTTAATGTGTTTTTACCCTGTTGGTATGTTTTATATTGTAAGGTGCCTAGGAAAACCCTGGCAATTATAGACGGCCTACAAATATATGTAAATAAATAAATAAATAAATTCAATTCTGTGCTCAAGCCATCTTTGGTACACACTAGTCCAGTCTTCCCCAACCTGATGCCCTCCAGATGAGTTGGGCTACAGCAAGGAAGCATGCTCGGGGTGTTAAAAAACACGCACAGCGCTGAACAAGTGAGTCAGGTAAAGCCTTTCTCCCCCTCCCTCAAGATGCTAGTCACCCCATGAAGCCAAGGTGTGGAGAATCAAGACAAAAGCAAATGTTCTTGCAGCACATGGGCTCCCATGTTCTGCAACAGATGCAAGTGTCTATTGCGCAGAGTTTGGCCTCTGGTAACATTCTCAACATTTCGCTGCCGTCCGCTAAAAGGTTGGCCTATTTCGCTCTTACCAGAATCACTGCCCTTGATCACACATTGTTGGCTCATGTTTAGCCTCGTATCCACAATTACTCCAAGATCTTTTTCCTTTTCAGTTCTGGTCGGTCACGGATTCCCCGTCTTGTATCAAGGCATTTGGTTTCTCTTTCCTCAGTGGAAGACTCGGCACTTTCCCTGTTGAGTCCCCTTCTCTTGCTTTCAGCCCAACGTTCAAGTTTATCAAGAATTCCCTGGATCTTCATTCTGTCTTCAAGGGATGTTTAGCAGCTATTCCACCCAGTTTCACATCATCTGCAAATCTGATTATCTTCCCTTGCACTTCTTAATCTAAATCATTAATGAATATATTTAAGAGCACTGGGCCCCAGACTGAACTCTGTGGCACCCCCCTCCTGTTAGAAAAGGTGCTGCTGATAAGCACTCTTTGTGTCCAATTTATTTATTTAGGAAGCTTCTATGCCGCCCCATTCGCCGAAGCCTCAGGGCGGCTCACAACAATAAATACAACAATATAAAAACAATATAATTGGAGATGTCCTGGCCAAAAATGTAAAATCAATAAATATTAACAATTAAAATGACATTTAAATAAAAAGGTCTTGGCTTGGTGCCGAAAAACAAATAACGACGGCACCAGGCGGACCTCTCTGGGGAGCACATTCCACAGATGGGGCGCCACCGCAGAGAAAGCCCTCCTCAGGGTACTTTGCCTCCTAATATCTTTCACAGAGGGTTCCTGGAGAAAGGCTTCTCCCGCTGATCTCAAGGGGTGGGAGGGCACGTATGGACGTAAGCGCTCCTTTAGGTAACCAGGACCCAAGCCGTTAAGGGCTTTATAGGTAATAACCAACACCTTGAATTGGGCCCAGATTTCAATGGGGAGCCAGTGGAGCTTATGGAGAACTGGGGTTATATGAGAACAACGCCCAGTCCCCGTCAGCAGCCTGGCAGCTGTTTTGCACCAATTGAAGTATCCGGACCATCTTCAAGGGCAGCCCCATGCAGAGCACGTTACAGAAGTCTAGGCGGGAAGTCACCAACACGTGTGTCACCGTCGCCAGGCAGTCGTTCCCCAGGTAGGGACGCAGCTGACGGATCAGCCAAAGCTGAAGGAAAGCGCTCCTCGCCACCGCTGTCACCTGAGCTTCCAGTGAAAGCTCCGGGTTGAGGAGCACTCCCAAGCTGCGGATCCTGTCCTTTAGAGGAAGTGCAACCCCATTCAGGACAAGGTCCAAGTCTTCTACCCCAGAGCCCGATCCACCCACCAACAGGACCTCTGTCTTGTCTGGATTGAGCTTCAGTTTATTGGCCCTCATCCAGCCCATTGCCTCGGCCAGGCACCGGTTCAGTACAGCCACTGCCTCACCTGGATTGGTGGAAAACGAGAGGTAGAGCTGGGTGTCATCAGCGTACTGATGGTTCCGCAGCCCACACCTCCGGATGACCTCTCCCAGTGGTTCCATGTAGACGTTAAACAGCAAAAGGGACAAAATGGACCCCTGCGGTACTCCGTGGCATAGCTGCCATGGCGCAGAGCCACAGTCCCCCAGCACCACCTTCTGGAATCGGCCGTTGAGATAGGAGCAGAACCACTGCAAAGCAGTGCCTCCAACCCCCAGTCTCACTAGCCTATCCAGAAGGATACCATGGTCGATGGTATCGAAAGCCGCTGAGGTCCAGGAGAAGCAACAGGGACGCACTCCCCCTGTCCTTCTCCCTGCACAGGGCAACCAAGGCAGATTCAGTACCATACCCGGGTCTGAAGCCGGACTGAAATGGGTCCAGATAGTCAGTTTCATCCATTCATTCGATTTAGCAGTCAATTTTGGGTGCACCTAATAGTTTTTAATTCGTTTTTGTTAATCTGCTGCTCTGAATGTCATGTGGCACTATGTCAAAAGCTTTACTAAAGTCAAGATGGATGATGTCCACAGTGTTTCTTCTCTCCGTTTGGGAGGTAACCAGTCAAAAATGAGAGTAAATCGGTCTGACAGCATTTATTTTTGCTGAATCCGTGCTGGTTTTTATTATTTCCAAGGCGCTTGCAGACTGTATTTTTAATCATTTGCTCCGGAATTTGCCCAGGGACTGATGTCTGAGTGAGTGGTCCACAGTTCCCAGGTTTGTTCCCCCCCCGCCCCCCGTCTTGAAGGTGGGGACAAGGTGAGCCCTTCAGTGGCCGCCGGGCACTTTTCCTTCCTGTCCCCAGGAACTCTCACGGGCGACAGACGGGGGCTCTGGGCGTCCTTCCACACGTCCCTCGGCAACTCGGGACGGAGTTCACGGGCCCGGGCGGCCGGAGCCCCACTCCCCGCGCATGGCGCGCGCCTCGACGGGCCTCCGGCCTGGGCCGGACGGCGCTGCGACGTCCTCTCCCCCTGCAGGCAGAGCCGCCGACCGGGCCGCTGCGACCGGCCCCGCACCAGGCACGCCGCCCGGCCCGCCCTGCGTGGCTCCTGTCCCGCAGGGCCGGCTCGGCTCCCCGACGGGCCCCGCGCGCCTGCCCCCCACGGAGGGAAGGCCGGGCCGCGAAGAGCCCATTGCGCGGCCGCTCGCGGCACCAGGCGCCGGCAGATGGAGCCCCGCGGGACTCGCTGCCCGGCCCGGCCGCCCCCGGGGCCCCGCTTCCTGCAGGCGAGGCTCGGCGGGGCGCGCCGCGCCGCGCGAGCTTTGCACGGTCACCTGCGGGGCGGGGGGGGCGGGGGGCTGCCCCTCCCCTCCCCTCCCCTCCCCCCCTCCCCCCTCCCTTGGGCGCTGCGGCTGTTGGGGCGCGCACCCCACCCGCGGCCGGGGCCCCCCGCCGGTTCCGCCCCTGCACGGACGGGCCCTTTAAGGGGCGGCGCCGCCGGAGAGCGCGCTGCCTCGGCCCACCGCGAGGGCCACGCCCCCAGGCCGGGCCGGGCCCTGACAGGAGCGCTCCACCGAGCATGCGTACCAGAGCGAGACCAGGTCAGGTCAGGACCCGCCACGCTTGCGCAGTCCCACGTCCGGCAGCTGAGGTAACTTCCACCTGCGGGCTTCGCCACCCGGCCACGATTGGTGAGGAATGCGGCTGCGCGAAAGAGGGATGCTAGCCCGGCGTACGGGCGCATGCGTGGATGGCTTTCCAAACGGCAGTAGGTGGAGTTACGCACGCGCAGTAGGAAAGCGTAATCCCCCCCCCCCCCGGCAGGAGGTTGCTTTTCTCTATGGGAATTAACACCTGCGCCGTTGAGTCAAAGAGAAGGTGGCGTGGCTCTGTGCACATGCGTACTGAGGTGATCGCCGGATTGCGGGGGCCGAGCCGAAGAGGGCGTGAGCCGCGCCATCCTGTGAGCATGCGCAATGACGACCATTCACGCGCCCTGTCCCCTCTGCGCGTGCTCCGTCGCGTCGCGCGAGGGCAAGGTGTGCGTGCGCACCCTGCTCCCTCCCTCCCTCCCTCCCTCCCTCCCTCCCCACGAACCATAGGCGGGGCGGCTCCTCTTTCGCAAGAGTCGAACGGGCGAGCGGGGCGCATGCGCCCTGCAGCCGGTGGCCGCCGCGAGCCAGTCAGCCGAGGCAGGGAGTTTGTGAGGGAAGGAGCGAGGCCGGCGGGCGCCCATCTCCCTCCTCGAAGCGGGGCCGGCGGGCGCCGTTCGAGGTAAGCGCGGTGAGGGGGCGGCGGCGGCGGCTTCCCTCCCCGCCGTGCCGTGCCGCTGCCGGAGCCTTTCGCTGTCTGACTCTCTGCCCCCCTTTCTCTCTCCGCAGCCGCGAACCGTCGCTCGGAGCCCTTCCTGGAGTTGGCGGAGGGGGAGACCTAGGCCCGCCCTGCCCGGGACTGGCTGAAGGCACCGAGCCCCCCCGCGCCCTCGGCGCCCCGCCCTCCCCATGACGCCCCGCCCCCGCCTCGGCCGGCCCCGCCCCTGCCCTCGTGCGGAGGGGGCCCTCCGCGCCCCTCCTCCCGCGGCGGTGGTCCCGAGCGGTCGCCCCGCCGGGCCCCCCTTCCCGTGACCGGGCGCGCGGCTCTCCCGCGCTCGCCCCCGGCCCCCGCGGCTCGGAGGCTCGCCGGTCGCTCGGGGCGGTTGCCGAAACACAGCCCGGCGCTCGCCCGCCCGGCCTTCCTCGTCCGGCAGTGCGGCGCGGGCCCTTGGCCCTGGCGGAGCGGCCCCGGCGCTTCCGCGGCTCCCGTGCATGCCTGCCTCTCTACCGCCACCATCATGGGCAAGGTGCTGTCGAAGATCTTCGGCAACAAGGAGATGCGGATCTTGATGCTGGGCCTGGATGCGGCGGGCAAGACCACCATCCTCTACAAACTGAAGCTGGGCCAGGCGGTCACGACCATCCCGACGGTGGGCTTCAACGTGGAGACGGTGACGTACAAGAACGTCAAGTTCAACGTGTGGGATGTGGGGGGCCAGGATAAGATCCGGCCCCTGTGGCGGCACTACTACACCGGCACTCAGGGGCTGATATTCGTGGTGGACTGCGCTGACCGGGACCGTATCGACGAGGCCCGCCAGGAATTGCACCGCATCATCAACGACCGCGAGATGCGGGACGCCATCATCCTGATCTTCGCCAATAAACAGGACCTTCCCGATGCCATGAAGCCACATGAGATCCAAGAAAAACTGGGCCTGACCCGAATTAGGGATAGGAATTGGTATGTTCAGCCGTCCTGTGCCACCTCGGGCGATGGACTTTATGAAGGGCTGACATGGTTAACGTCTAATTATAAATCGTAATGATTGTTTTAAAAAATGGCAAACTGTTCTTAGTCTTCAAGGGAGGTTAGAGAGGAAAAGAAACACTGTGGCTTCTCAGAAAAGAATGATTCTCCATACTAAAATGTTCAAAAATTAAGCATCCATAGGATTTTAATGATTGCTCACCTCTTCTCCAGTTACCACCCTTCTACACACTTGACTGGATCCCCAGTTCAGTATGATTCTTGCTTGGTGTTAAGATGCTCTTAAACCTCAACTGTGAATGAACAAAAGCACTCGTTTCTATGGCAAACTTCTGACAACATGGGGGGAACAGATACATGTAGCTCTGCAAAGTAACTTTTCTTCTCTATTGAAAGCCCATGTTATGATGGTCTGACTTCATTTGTTCGGGTCCTGGGGCTAAGGTATCACTTTTTAAAATGTATGCTTTCTGATTCAATTTTCCTCCTCTCCATTATCATCCGCTGTAGATTTGCTTCTTTTTGCAACCATGCAGAATATGTTGATAGGTCTTTGTTATCTAGTAAACTGAAAAACATTGTTTATGAACAAACTGCAGTCTGTCCTCTTTATGGCAAAAGTTTACCTACAACTAAGAAGGGAACTTAAATTTTTATCTCCTTTATTTGGCCTTTGACGAATCAGAAAGGTAGCATTTAGAATAATTGCGCGGTTGCTTGCTGGGCCTGATGCTGGCCAGATAATACAAGAACAGTTTCAGAATGTTGGCTGTAGGGAGTTATGAACCAAATTTTATGCATGCATGGAGAAGGGTACAAATAAAGTTTCCACTCTATATAGAACCATGTGCAGGTTGAAAGGAGACTGGTATCAAACCACAGGTTCTGTATTTTGCATTGTAAAGTTAATTTTTGGCTGCAATATCAACTAATTGCATTACTTTCCAGTTTTAGTACAAAAATACTTTCATTCCATGAAGTGCAGCAATAATTTGTAAGCATCACTGTGTGAAAATGCATTGCTTTTTAAAGTCATAAACCTGTAGTCAAAACTTGAATGTTAAAACTATTCCTGTCTTAACAATTGAAACAAATATGGCAGTATCACAATTGGTCTAAAAGCTTCTAAAACCTTAGATAAATATGTTTAGACCTTTATCTTGGCTTCTAAGATGCACCTTTATTAACTTCAGGGGGTGAGGGGAGCCTGCATCTGCTTCTGTGTTACAATTTGAGTACTACTCCTAAAACTTACTGAGATGTATGAGAATGAAGGAACAGTATGACCACTTGGTTTTGCAG